CTGTGGATCTTGGTGGATCAATAATCAACGTGGTTTCCCATATATCAGTGGTGCAGGACGAGAAACCTGGAAAGAGACAGTGCCTAGTCATTTGGAGAGACAGAGAGAGAGAGAGAGAGAGAGATAGGGTTAACATCCACTCGACACAAACTAGGTCATTTCGGGACTGACACATGGATAAATTTTATTTCAATAATTATTTTGCGCGTAGGTGTCTTTAGCATTGGGAGGAAACCGGAGGACAAGCGACCCTACTCTTTGTCACGTACAACCGGGGAATCGAAACCACGCCAGTTGACTCAATGACATCCCTTATGGTGCAGCGCACGTGCTAACCATTCGGCCATCAAAGCCCCATCTAGTCATTTGGGTCCCGTGTATAAATTTACATGCACATAAACGAACAATTTTATTGGCCGTTTAAGCCAGTTATTTGTTCAACCGGGTATATATTGTAAAGCGTTAGATTTTTTAAAAGAGACACATTTTTATCGAAAGTTTTAATTATATCTGATTCTCTATTTCATATTTTAAATATATATAATAAAGTGTGCGATATTTATTTATTTCATATTTACAGAAATGAAATGAAATGAAATGGGGTTTAACGTCCTACTGTTCTGCTCCTATACTGGGCTAATGAAGACGGGCATACGCCATATAAGTTTTAATTATATCTGATTCTCTATTTCATATTTTAAATATATATAATAAAGTGTGCGATATTTATTTATTTCATTTTTACAGAAATGAAATGGGGTTTAACGTCCTACTGTTCTGCTCCTATACTGGGCTAATGAAGACGGGCATACGCCATACAGTGTGCTATGAGGGGAATTTTGCCCGGGCAGCGGCACTATCGCCTACTCTTATATCGAATTCCAACTGCCAGGGGATCTTTTACGTGCATTCTAATATATACACGGGTCCTTGGCTTTTCGTATCATCCAAAGGACTAAACAGCTGTCCTTGTCAGACCCTCCGTTCTGCACCACTGACAAGGGGAAACCACGTCGGAAAATCTGGATGTACTTGCTCGGCCAATGCAGGGATCGAACACCACCTCCAGGCTAGCGACCCAGCGTCTTAACCACCTAGCCACCATAGCTCCCTATTTCATATTTACTGTGGAGAATATTATTATGTATTAAGGGTTGAAGATGTTCCGATGGAACTGAAAGCGCTAGCCGCATTATACTGTGTTTCTTTCCTCAACATTTTAATTTTCATGTGATTATTTGTTTCTAGTTTGGACTTATATATCCCGGTTAGAGCTGACGTGCCATTAAAAAACCATTTCATTCATTCATTATTGGCAGTTTTAATTCACGAAAAGCAGGCAGCAACGTCGTTTATAGCACACTGTGTATAGCGTATATGTCACTCTTGGTACACCGAAGCAGGACATTTCCTTTCCAATCATACGTTTTGATATTAAAAGCTGGAACCACCGTGGCTAAGTGGGTAAGACCCTGGCATGCTAGTCTGGAGGTCGCTTGTTCGATCCTCGCATTGAGCGAGAAGTTTATCGGGATTTTCCAACATGAATTCTCCTTGTCAGTGGTGCAGGAAGAAGGACCTGGATGGGACGAAAACTGAGGTCCCGTTTACAAATTGGCGTGCATGTAAAGGATCACTTGGCAGTTGGAATTTGATGTAAGATTAGGCCATAGTGCCGCTGCCCGGGCACAATTTGCCTCATAGCACTGGGTGGCGTATACCCGTCTTCATTAACTCAGTCGGAGCAGAACACTAGGACGTTAAACCCCATTTCATTTCAATTCTTATTAAAAACTGACAGACCAAACGTTATTAGCAATTCATATTAGTCCTTCTCGATTTTTATTTGGGTAGTTTATAGACAAACTTCATCCGTGAAACTATGTTATACATTTACGTTGAATTTATAGAAAAATCAAAATCACGCATTTCTAAATTAATCCATTGTATTTAGTAGGGTAATGATTAACCCAATGGTATGGAAGGTCATAATTCTAGAATCACGAACATAGACAAAAGCTGTGGATAAAGTCGATAACCTACCAAACAGTGACAGTGTAATTATAAGGGAATCTATACCAGTCATCGGCAATAAAACACAAAGTAATGTGTGTGTGTGTGTGTGTGTGTGTGTGTGTGTGAGAGAGAGAGAGAGAGAGAGAGAGAGAGAGAGAAATGGGGTTTATTCGCTTGTGCATAGGGGTCTTGGCAGTGGGAGGAAACTTGAGGACCCAGAGAAAATCAACGAGGTTGGTTGGACAGGACCCTAATCCTTGTCGCGTACAACCGGGGAATCAAAAGCATACCAGATGTAACAATGACATGCCAGTTGACTCAATGACTGACCGTAATATGATACAGCGCGCACGTGCTAACCATTCGCCCCGCCCCACCCCCAGCACCACCACAAGCACCACCACAAGCACCACCACAAACTGTTGTAAGTTGATGTCCATAATAATATCGTTCAGTTGAATGGAATGTTTGACGCTGTCTATGAAAACTTGTTATCAGAGTTAACTTTTCAAATACGAAATAATATCAAGACTTCTAGAGGGAGTAAGTAAACATACTCTGACTTGTGCATTTTAAAGGAATGTAAATAATTTATGTTCCGTCGACATTTATTTCATTGAATTGTAGCAGTGACTCCATAGAACAAAATCGGGCTAGTTGTGTTTTTTCTTGCCTACCAAGGTAGTTCGGTGGGTGTGAAATAACAAGGCTGGAAATGGAGCAAATTGTCCTTTTCGTAGTGGTGAAAAGCCGCGGTTCACGCCAACGTGGGCACGGGACTGTTTTTCGTCTTTGTCTGTCCACCCCGTCCTGCACAAGGGGCAAACACTAATGGAAATCTAAAGAATCTTTTTTTGACCAACACCAGTCAGCGACCCACCGTAAGCAACTTCGCAGTATGAGACATTTTTGCCTGGGCTATGGTTTGCGTATATTGTAATTTGAATGGCTCCTACATGTCTATTCAAATCACATCAACTGAAACATTATTTTTTTAATAACTGGCGTAGACATCCTAATTGCCTATTCCTCAGTTAGCTTACTGAATAAACACAAAAGAGAAGCTTAAGATGTCTGGTACGTGAACAGTTTCGATAAATGCTACGCGTATCACGTATTATATTAGCTCAATTAGTCTGCCATTGTGAATGATTTCCTTGAGTTATAAATAATAAAATCAACGAACTAGAATTTTTTGATGTTATACTGTACGTTAATGTGCGAGAAACAATTACGGGCTGAAGTTCCGCAGTCGGTGCAGAACCTTACTAATTTAAACCCTATTTAATTTAATTTGCTAAAGTTTTTGTATGGCTTAACTTTGTGCATTTGAATTATTTGGTCCTATGGCGACGTTATCCCTCGTCGTTATCAAGCAGGCTCGATATATTTTTATATGCGCACATGTATTTGCGTTAAATCTAATGATTAAATCAACATTATGGAAGATTAGATAAAAAGCTGATATTTCTCGCTATAGTAATTTAAAAAATAGATAATGTAAAGGGAAATTTTTGAACATTTTAGTCATATTATTTCACTCGGAGCCGAAAATCATCATTTTGATAACAATGTAGCCTCGATTGTCATTGTTACCGTTGTTCCGATTAAGTAGATGCTAAAAAGATCGAAATGGTTAAGGTTAAGAAAAATGCCCGAAACGCCTTACATTCTTTTGATGGCACGTTTCTCGGCAATCGCTCCTAATTAAAAGTTTTTTTTTTTACTGGTACCAACTTGGTATTAGAATAAGAACACAATGTGTCGTTTGAATTATCGAATACACGACATTATTAACGTTTAATACTTTAGCATTAGACCGCCCGAAACAATTACTCCTTTGATCTCCTCCCCTCCCCAACTTCACCCCGCCCCCACACGGCCCCACGCCTTCCAAACATGCAATATCTGTGGCAAACTATACCTATTCACATATCTGGGACGGTATTGGGGTTGTCTAGGGACAGGTGTTTCCGGTCTGTACCGTCGGGATGTCTGGGAATGTAACGGTATGAAATAAATCACCCTTCTCTTCTGTTCGTCAATGATGTAATGAACTGTAATTAATAGTTACAATCACGTGATTATGGGATAATATTGTCTCGTCCTTATAATAGTTATAACAAAAACATTAGAAACATGCTCTGATTATCTTGGGTTCTTGGCTACTTAAAAGTGCAATTGCAAATTTTCAAGTTATATTTTTAAAATGTATTAAAATAAAGCCTTAAAATAGATGGTATCCATAAACAGAGAGAGAGAGAAATGGAGTTTAACGTCCACTCGACACAAACTAGGTCATTTCGGGACTAACATATGGTTTAATTTTATTTACATAATTCGCTTGCGCGTAGGGGTCTTTAGCAGTGGGAGGAAACCGGAGGCCCCGGAGAAAACCCGCGATGTTGGACAGGCGACCCTACTCCTTGCCACGTACAACCGGGGATTCGAAACCACGCCAGTCGACTCAATGACAGACTTTATGATACAGCGCGCGCACGCTAACCATTCAGGCCCCCCCCCCCCCATAAACAGCCCTACCTTGTTAAAGAATAATCCTATTAATCCTATAATTCGCTATTGCCAGCTGAGAAATTGACAAAAATATCATTTTTAACTTCAAATTCCAACCTTGGAAAATGGCTGCCCCATGTTGTCAATAGCAAAACAGGGGAGGTAATTGTGTTGTTATTTCCTGTGTCATAGATTTTTAAGGGTGGGAAATAATACCCACGATCGTATAATAGTGATTTGATAACCTATTGAGCAAAAGACATAGAAATAATTATGTTTTGACTTTCTTAGAAAATTTGAAATTCTCGCTTTAAATTGGACAATAGTACCGTCCCTTGATATTTTTTATGACTTTTGCACTATTTTATTCCTACATGTATTTCACACGTCGTGATTTTCCGTCCATATATCTAATGATCAAAATCAATTTATTATGTGAATGATTAATAATTTTTCTATTTACTTTTCAGCGACCAATATGTGTAGTGTGGACTTTACTACCATGAATAAAGGCGCATGGGGATGGATAGCGTTCTTTATAGCGTCTACAGGAGCTGCTCCTTATATCATGATCGCCGTGTGTGCTATACTGACATTCTGGAAATGGTCTTATATACAGTTTGAACATCGTAACCAAGACTTGGTTCAAAGTCGTAAATTTTTCTACGGCTGTTTGATAAGTGTTCCGCTTTACTTTCCATACTTTATCGTGAATTTGTCGAACTACTATGGAAACTATGTGTCGCCAACATTAAACGTCTTTGTGATGATTTTATACTACGGTAGCAATCTTCTACCATGTGCTTTGCTCAGTCCGCGATATTTGTGTAAAACAGTTGAAAGGTCATCAACGTCTGGTTCGATTCGAGAATCTGAAACCGAGGACCAGGAGGAATTTGAAATGGAGATTATACCCGATAATCAGTTATAAAATGACGATTGGTTGTACGTGACGGGGCGGTGCGTAATTTTTCACACGAGACGGAGAGGGTTCGAATCTGATAAGATAGGCTAATGTGAAGAAGATAGTAGTCAACAGGCCAGTTGTGGGCATCATGTGGTACCGTGTGTTTCGGAAAGGATAACTGATAAGTTATTTAGAGCAAACGTAAGCTAGTGGATGCTGTCAGGCAACATGTGAAAATAATCGTAAGTGTCACAAGGTGTTCTTGCAAGGATAACTGATATGTTATTGTTCCAACCAATTAATTATACGTACTGGTCATTACCCAACGGAGTTCGAAAACTAATGCCAAGCCGAAATGAGTAAAAACAGTTGCCCATACAGTGACGTTGTTTTATATCACTTTGGCTACAGCCACGATAGCACACTCGCGACTTCACTGTGTGAGTGCTACACGTGTTCTTGTATCTAGAGGTCATTTTTGAAGGTCAAAATCGTATGTTTTGTCATGCTGTGACCAATGGCTTGAAATGGGGGTGTTACGTCGTACGTGTTGCACGGAGATGATCAGTCGTGTGTCATTTAGTATTGTAAGGTTTATCGCTAGACAGATCACCATAAATCTACAGTGAAATCTCGCTATTAAGACCAGTTACGGCACTCGTATAAATTGGCTCTTTATAGTGAGGTGGTCTTTATAACGAGTTGGAATTTCAGGATACATAATCATAAATATTATGTTATTTTAAGATACAATTTCAGCATACAGACTCTTGTACATTATTTTAAAATATGGTCCTATACATTATAAATTACAATTTAATGCTCAACAGTGAACATGTATTTTGAAACACTTATTTGAGAGAACACTGTAAGTTATCAGTATAATGTTCAACACTCGACAAAGCAAAGTTTACTACTGGATTTAATATCTGTATCCGAAATGCATAAAATAATGTCCACCATGCTCAAAAGCACACAGTAAAATATTAAAATCATGTTTTTTTGTACTTTATCATGACCTGTACTTTTTTGGTATAATATAAAATGTCCGCCATGCTCAACAGCACAGTACAGTAAACTTTAAAAATCATGTGGTTTTTTTTTTTTGGGGGGGGGGGGGTATCATAATCTGTACGTTTTGAGTATAATACACAATGTCAGGCATGCTCAACAGCTTACCGTAAACTATTAAAATCATGTTGTTTTTTGTTTTTGTTTGTTTAGTTTATCATAATCCGTACGTTTTTTGTAGTTAGGTTGGTTATCAGATCTAAGACTAAAAGTAGACCTAAACGTCTTGTATGACAGAATGATGATGATGCCACGGGGTTGTAATCGCAGTGCTTCCGAGAGTCTGTATCCGCCATATGTTTGATTAATAGCATATAACCCATTAGATGTCATCTGTAAAAGATAGTTCTGGATTGTTAAAATAAACATCAGTCTAATTGAAATGGCATGGGTGGTAATATAAAAGTATAATTATATATGATCATGTATCGAATAATGTATGGATACGTCTCTAATTTTGATGATGTAATAGGCACCGCTGTACATTCGACGTGATATGATGGATCATTACATCGGTGTCTCGGTATTTTATTATTGTCATTTCGGACAGATAACCATATCGCATGAATGCGTCTCTAATTCTAATAATGTTTTAGATAAACCCTAAACAATCGACGTCACATTATGTACATCGTTGTCTGGGTATTTCGGACCGGCCACCATATTGTTGCTCAAAGATAAATCTACCTGAAAATCTAGATCCTTAATACAGAACTATCGATTTAAAAACATCGTGAAACTACCAGAGATGATATATTTGTTACCAAAACATCTTTAAATGTTTACAAAATTGCAGCAGTGATGGAGTAGCCTACACTTATTAAATATACATTATATGCAAGAGCTAAATCTGCTTATTGCAGGTCTTTCTTTAGGCCTGAAATGTAATCTAAATTATAAATTAGACATTAATTAACTTATCCAGACCATAATCAACCCTCGATGTCATCGCTAGCCTGCGATATTTACTGGATTAGAATCCGATCTGCTGCTTAACGCTCATTGATGATTAAATAAAATAATAGATAACCGAGACTATGTTCTTTATCGTACCAATGATCGACGCTAGGGCTAAAATTCAATCGCTAAATTCTCGGTTCAGAGTCGATCAATTTGACTGAAATTTTAGCAAATCCCTTTTACATTATCTAGTTTTTATCTATTATAGTGAGAACTGCCGGCTCTTTATCTAATCTTGCATAATGTATCTTAATGTACAGATTCTGCGGTCGCAGAAAACGTATGAATGGGCGCTCTGTAATAATAAAAGATGCACTATGTGATATTTATATAACAAGACAACCGTTCTTGCTATAATAGTTGAAAACTAGATAATGAAAAATAAATGTTTTGAACATTTCATTCCAATTACTTAATAAAGAGCGAAGTTATGACAGACTGTAGATCTAGCTAGCGTATATTGTTTAGTATCGTGGCAACGGTACTAGATCCCAATTATCCACATTATCGTTGGGGATTTAAAAATCAAAATCCCCCGGGTATTATAATCTCTGTAAATCACAGCCATCCGATGATCTAGAGAGTTGATTATAGGTTTGACGTGTGAAGTTTATATTAAATTGAAGCCAAAATAAAGACCCGCAATTTGCAGATTTAGCTCTTACATAATGCATCTTTAATTGGTAAACTGTATTATGTGTTCAAGGTTGGGGTTTCTTCTGGTCATTAAATTAAGGTAGGACACTGTCAGGTAAAATTAACAGATAATCCATTTGCGTTCGTGCGAGCATAGCTTACTGGTGCCTTGTTTGTCTTGAATAGAGACACAGATATTGGCTCGACATAACTGTATATGGTTCATATCAATTATATTGTAATATTTGCGCATGGGATCAATCAATTTGGCTCTAGGACAATTCGTCCCCGGACGATTCGTCCACAGACAACTCGTCCTTGAGGACAATTCGTCTCCGGACAATTCGTATCAGGACTATAAGTCCCATAGGACTATTCGGCCCAGGACAATTCGTATTAAATCTAGGCCTTAACTTAATGGTTCGTGAAGTTTTTTCGGGCTAATTGATATGCATGTATATGTAGTCATCAGCTAAGATCATATTGACCCTAGATATAATTCGAAGTTTTTTACGTTCAGATATATTTGAATTAAAAGGCAGCGGTTTGGTTTTTATTTGCATTCATATTTGACATCTGAAAAACACTTAAATTATTATACAAAAACATTTTAGTGACATTTGGAAAAGATTTAATAATTCTCACATAATTGCTACTTTGTGCACTATGTGATAACGAGGTTAAGTGGCAATTCATGCTTGAAACAAAAACCTTTGATTATTTGGAACTCATCATTTAATTTTTGGTATTTGTAACATGCAGACGCTAAAAAGAGATAATATTTTGGCATACGCGATATGGTATCAGGCAGCAAACACATTAGCAAAATCCATATGTGAGTTGAAAGTTAAGGGGTCCGATTGGACCCCTTGTTCCCTTCAAGCGTTGGGTCTGATTTGCATGTAACATAACTCTGCATGTGGGAAGCAGTTGAATACCGAACTCTTCGCTACGTGTAAAAATGTATAGGGGACAAAGTCACTAAATTTCAGAAAGTAGTGCTCAGTAGTTATTACAACACACTATAAAACATGTGCATGGGGGTCCACGGAGACCCTACGTGCACCGACAAGAGTTAAAGAAATAAAATGGGGTTTAACGTCCTACTTTTCTGCACCAACCGCCATAATGATGGTGATACACGCCATGCTATGAATATTTTACCAGGATAACGGTATTCCCGTTTACACCATATCAAATTCCAGCTGCCAAGTATTCTTTTAAATAAAGCCGAATTAGCAAATTTTTAAAATATTGTTTCCTGCGGCCCTCTCTCAACAATTTCCAATGTAATGTCGAAACTTTTCACGTTATTTTAAGATTGTGCCAAATACACCCCTCCCACATTAACTCTTCTGTTACAAGAACAGAAGAGATCAGTTTCCCTTTAAACCATGTGTCACGTTAATCAGACTTTGTATTTGAAAAACTAGATAAACTAATCCACACTAAATCTGCCCTGAAACCCAAAGATATCGCATTAATAATAAAAGTATCTAACTTACAATTAAGGCAGAATTTAAGAGAGTCCTGCTATCTAATAACATGCCAGACAAACTAATTACACGATTCCAACTGCGGTAATTCTTCATTCCGTCTCATAAATTACACTTTAAACATAGAATCCACCCTATCTTCATTATCCCGGTCGGTGCAAAAATATAGGAAGCTTATTAACCCGATTTCATTTCATTTCGGCTGGGGGGGGGGGGGGGTAAGACACTGTCTCACTAGACTGGAGGTCTGGTGTTCAATACCTGCATTGGCCGAGAAAGTTCATCCAGATTTTCCGGCGTGATTACCCCTCGTCAGTGATGCAGGATGGAGGGACTGACAAGGACAGCTGTCTAGTCGTTCGGATGGTACGAAAAACCGAGGTACCGTGGGGTTTAACGTCCTACTGTTCTGCTCCTAAACTGGGCTAATGTAGACGGGCATACGCCATACAGTGTGCTATGAGGGAAATTTTGCCGGGCAGCGGCACTACGGCCTACTCTTATATCGAATTCTAACTGTCAAGGGATCTTTTGCGTGCACCCAATGTGTACACGGGACCTTGGTTTTTCCGGCCGATCCGAACGACAAGACAGCTGTTCTTGTCAGGCTCTCCGTCCTGCATCACTGACAAGGGGAAACCACGTTGGGAAATCTGGATGAACTTTCTCGGCCAATGCAGGGATCGAACACCCGACCTCCAGGCTAGCGAGCCAGCGTCTTACCCACTTAGCCACGTGATCCCCTCGGCGACAAGAAATCTTTGGTGTGGGATTGCTATCAGCTATGACTTTACCACGAGTAACCAAGATAACTACATGTATACGACCCATATTAATTATTATACTCTTCTGTGTGAAAGTTCCTACGACCCAGACACCTCCTACAGATTTCCAGCTTGTACTCTAACACACTATCACGTTATTCATCAATCTCTCTGTCGGTTTAAATTGGCACCCATAGACTTGAACTGTTAATCAATTCTAATACATATATAGCCATCCAAGGTGTGCGTGTGTGGGAAATAGCTTTATTTAACGTCCGCTTCCACCGAGGTGATATCGCAAAGCCATTCAAGGTAAGGAAACCCACCCCTTATGCGAACTCTTTGAGAATTTAAAATCGTATTTATCTGCACCGACTGGTATGATATAGATGATCTGTCTAATGGACTGTAGCTCCCTGCGTGACGCAACCAGTGCTTCAAGTTTACAACAGGTGCCAAGGTAAGGAAACCGACCCTTTACAACGGGGTTTTAAATCTGATGTATCTGCACGGACTGGTATGATACAGACGATCTGTCTAATGGGCTGAAGCTCTCTACGTGACACAGCCGGTGTTTCACGTTTATAACAGGTGCCAAGGTAAAGAACCGACCCTTAATATGCGAACTATTGGAGAAATGAACGGGGGTTTAAAATCGTATTTATCTGCATGGACCGGTACAGATGGTCTGTCTAATAGCCTGAAGCTCCCTACTTGACGGAACAGTTGCTTCATGTTTATGTCCAGATGCCAACAAGATTTGCATAATCACGGGCAACTGTACTTACTGACATACATTGGGTAAGAACTGGGGCTAGGGTTAGGGTTTGGATTAGCGCTAGCCCTGTTTACAACGAAACATTGAGCTGGCCATATCATTTAGCACTAACCTTTCTATTGGCTTATACATTAGAATTGAAAATAGACCGCGTCTCATGAAATATTCTCACCAGAAAAAAGTAACATTTTAGGAGGGCTATGGTCTTTCCTTCGGTTACGGTAATGTTACTCCTGCTCCATTGCAGAATCGGAGCCGAAGACGACCAGTCCCTCACTGAAACTAGTGTATCGACGCTTGCGCATCTAACTCCTTGACTCATTGGTCTTGAAGGTGTTGAGACTCGTCGAGGCGGGCGAAATGGGAAGGAGATGAGGGGCGGGGTCCTTGATTGTTCTGTACCTCGGGAGCTCTTTGATTTGGGACAGATGGTTTTATCTTTACTGGCACCATACCTTATACCTGCCACCTGTGGTCGACAGGAAGACGCCAACAGCATTAATCCCCACGCAGTTCCCTCGGAGTCGGCCAAAATATTTTTCTTTTTCAACGATCATCGAGTAATGATAAAAAAAATATAATTTTAGTGGCTATAAAAGTAAATATATGAAAATTATTTCATCCCGCAAATCAATTTGACCCACAATCGGGAATTGACTGACCATTTGGTGGATTGATGCAATTCTCAACAAGAGTTCGGGGTTTCAGAAAATCACACAATTCTGAATTTGATGCAGGGTGTCTAGTTCTCCAACGCAAACGGCAGTTCTAGATAATTCGCATCGTTGGGTGCTATTTACCGTTATTGTAAGTGATTTTACTTCTGTTAAGGTTCATTTTTCAGACGCTTCCGCCCTATTTTCCGTAAAAAATGATACGTACGCCCGAGACATAGAATTGCAGTTTTTAATAAAAACCTTTCTCGTATTTTATCTTATTTTCTGAAATAACAGAAACCACAAAATGTGGAATCGTTTTGTACTTTGGTGGTAATGATTTGGTGTTGATATTAAAAGTTAATTCTAAGGGAGATAACTACATTATCAACCTGAACACCAAAATAGTTGCAGAACACCAATAACCTTTTTTAATCCGGGTTCCTTTTCGTGCGATCCGAACGACTAGCCACTGTCCTTGCCATACAATAATGGTGGCCTCTGCAAATCACAGGGACGGAACTAACTGGCACACGGAGAAGTATGATGTTATATTACCGATATCTTCCGGCGTGGTTCTCCCCCCCCCCCCTTGTCATCGACATGACGTAAAACCTGGCGTAAGGGCACTGGCTAGTCGTTCGGATGGTATGGAAATCAGAGGTCTCGTGGGCTTTGGATGCACATAAAAAAAATGACAGTTGGAATTCAGTTGCTGTCCAGGTAAAATTGTCCTTAAAGCACATCGTTGGGTGCATACCCGTCTCCATTATCCCGATGGGTACAGAAAAGTGGTACATTATTATGTATGGCAAGGGCCGTGTCTAGTCGTTCGGATCAGACGAAAACCCTTGGCAAATGGAATTCGAAATAAGAGTAGGCCGGTATAAATTTCCCTCATAGCACACTCTATGGCGTTAGTCCGTCTTGATTAGCCCCAGTCGGTGCAGGAGAGTAGGAAGCTAAACCCCATTTCATTTTGGTTTAATTTCGTCAAGAATAAAAAAAACACAACACAATTTATATGGAAAAACAATCACTGTTTTACAGGCTTAGCACGACGTTTCGACGAGTATTCTGCTATCGTTATCAAGCACAAATGTTTTTCAATGTGTTCAATCCCTAGATGCCACTCAAGGATTATCTTCGTCAAGAATATCGTTATCTATGAAATTCCGTATCGCTTAATGCAACTTAAATAATACATGATTAAACTTAAGCCAGATAGAAGGCATCAGAAATAGATAGTTCATCGTGATCCACATAAACTGATCATTTAAAGGCCGTCCCATCCTCATACAGATCAACAGTATATGAATATTAATTGGCACAACTGTAAAAGAAATCAAATAAGATTCTATAACCCTTCACTGTATAGCCTGTTAGACATAGTATTTAACATCACGTTTGGTGTTGTTTCCAAGTTTAGCACTCCGTCCAACCATTCAACCAGACGAAGAGCTAGTCGCTGATTTCAACGTAGTGTTCCCGATCAAGTACTAAATCACAAAATTGAGCATACAGTGGCGACACTAAATGAGTTCATAATGATGGCTGCTACGGAGAATTGTCAAAATTCTTAATTTGTTCGATGTTCACATGTAAACGTTAACGAAGAAGACATTTTTCGCCTTAATAATAGAAATAGGATGAAATAATATAATTACAATTTACGCTGAACAGATAACGAAATCGGATTCTACATTTGTGACAATATCCTGGTCACGGATCTCAATACAGGGACTGTGAAATTAGACGATAGCACGACATTAATAAATTTAGAATTTTGAATCTAATATGCCACGGAATATATAACGCAATACGGTATATTTGTGTTCATGGTGACGTAAATGAAACCTTTACATATTGATATAATGTTCCGGTAAACGCTTTCAGTTTAAAACGATTATTCTCAACGCTCGACTAAAATATGTAGGGTTATTTTCAAGATTGAATAAAAAAATGTGACGGACCCCCCAACTGCGTGGTAGCAAGGCCGCGGTAAGCTCACAATACATGGAAACAAATCTAAGACTTGACAACTGTTCTACATAGATCAGTTGAGAAATACTAGTTGTTTTATCTATAGTTAATTAATTAGTATTTATAGAATAGCACCCCCTAATTTTGGCCATCTTGTTGTCCTGTATGGTGTCTTTGACTTGTCTATATTCTTGTATTACTAGCCTGATAAAGTTGAGAGAATAATACACTTCGAAACGTCGCCCAAATAAAGAAGTAGCTGTTTTTCCATCTGTTATAGTTTATTGTTTTATCTCTAGTTGTAACCCTAAGGGCAGCAACTATTGATTTTCGTGTAAACCCCGACCTCCAGGGGCCAGGCCACACCCATTTTTTGTTAATATTTTGTTTGTAAATACTCTATGTTTTGCGATTATTAACATATTTTGATCAATAAAAGGGTTGTACATATTTATATTGGTCCATGTCCAACATCCAGGGGCAGAGCCAAGCTGCAATTCTGAACATATCATCTCAGAACTTGGCCTACTTATTCCTTAGGCTATAATAGCGGCACCTATTGATATTGGGGCATGCCCCGACTGGGCAGGGTAACAGTGCTACGTCCAATCTTTGTGTTTTTCGCCTACAGACTGCAAGTCTGAAAGGATCATCCTGGAACTTGACATATTTATTCCTTATATATCCAAAGGACGGCAACTATTGATTTTGATGCAAGCCAGATCCCTTGGCGCAGGGTCACGCCAACTTTGTGGGTAATGTCCAGTCTGTAAATTTGGTAAAACAAACCCAACGTCTAGCCTACTTTGTTCTTTTCCCAACCATTTCATATTCCATTCTTTTCATTTTAACAACAACTATATCAATCAAAGCCGGAAGTTGGACGCATCATGCAGCGGTAGTTTTGCTCCCAGTATGCAAATAGAGATAAATGACATAAAATGAAAATGGGGTTTAACGTCCTATTGTTCTGCTCCGACTGGGCGAATGAAGACGGGCATACGCCATACAGTGTGCCATAAGGGAAATTTTGTCCAGACAGCGGTGCCATGGCCTACTCTTAAACTACCTCCTACATTCTGCGCACAAAGATTCATCTACTTCATATTTCGAGACTAGATCTCTGTCCTAAATGGCCGCCATATCTAACTATTCTATTTTTTTGTAATTAGGATCTACTCCGTTTCATAGCCGTCCTACATGCAAAGACTAAATAAACTATTTCAATGGAAGCAGAATAAATCCTTAAAAAAATGCTTTAAGTTTACTTTGTGTTTTCGAATAAAATCGTCGATTTAGGACTTAAAATGTCGATCAACTAGCTAAATGTCTGTTCGCAAGCGGAGCTAACTGTAGACAGACAGCCTAAGTATAGTGTGCATCTCCTACTGCCAATGGATCTTTATGCCGATGTGCACACGAGACCCTGACCTTTCGTTGCATTCCAACGATTGACTATACATTGTCCCTTGCCAGACCCTTGGTCCTCTGCATCACTGGCAAGAGAAAACCACACTGGAAAGATCCCAGTATTCGAAAAAAGACAAACAACTCTACTTTCATAATACTATACTTTTACAACCGGTACATTATATATAAGGCTTATTTCAATGGCTTCTCACAAAGAAACTTTCGCGCAAACGCACAATCGTGATCGTTGAACTCCAGCTCATGAAATTGTAAACAATTGTGGACTTCGTTACCTTGTGGTTGACCCGGTTTCCAACCCTCGGCAATTACACCTGATCCATCTATCCACGTAAATTCGCCTTCTGAAGCCAGATCATTTCCTCCAATCCAGTATTCTATGGCTGAAACTAATGCAAAAACAAAAAACCCTCCAGCAAAATGAAATCAGGAACATCGAAAACACATGACATAAATATCCTATATTGAATAATAGCAGTCTAGTCTAACAACTTTGAAAACAATATTAGTTTTGATTACTTTGACTCAAAAAAACGTTGAAGCTATCAATTTGAAGAATAGTTGAAATTAGTCGGTATTTTGAAGGAAACGAGACAATCAACTAACTATCAATGATATCTTGTAGATCCCTCCACTTAACGTTTGCGTAGAGCCCAAGTCTGAAAATGTCTCAATGAAAAGGGGCATAATGCTGTTCAATGTCTATCACACAGATGCAATTGGTATGTGATTATGGTGCAAATTTTATTTTAGAACTAATTTAGGTACCCCTTTAAAATTGGGGCCATGTCGTTCGCTGTTGGGGGCTTAACGTCTGTATGTGACCTTTTATTTGATGAACAAATATTAGATATAATGGAGGAACTAATGACAGAAAAGTTGGTGGGAAATGCGTGGCGAAAGTTGTGCGATACCAGGGGCTAATTGAGAAGGACGCAATGACGAGCTTTGCGTCATGGTTTAACGCCCCCTTGAGTTTTTTGTGCCCCTAACAGATGGCAATGAAATGCAATGAAATGGGGTTTAACGTCCTACTGTTCTGCTCCTATACTGGGCTATTGAAGACGACCATACGCCATACAGTGTGCTACGAGGGAAATTTTGCCCGGGCAGCGGCACTATCGCCTACTCTTATATCGAATTCCAACTGCCAAGGGATCTTTTACGTGCATTCCAATGTATACACAGGGCCTCGGTTGTTCGTCTCATCCGAAGAACTAGACAGCTGTCCTTGTCAGGCCCTCCGTTCTGCACCACTGACAATGCGGTTGTCTACATTATAATTATAATCATAATGCCTAACCAATGTCAAACATATACTGTGGGTCAGATATGCTACAAATGTTCGTTCCACAAAGACCAATATTACCCAACGGCACTGGCAGGGACCCCCACCCCCACCCCACCCCGGCACACAACAATATAAATATATTTTTTTTTTTTTTTTTTTTTTTTTGGGGGGGGGGGGGGGGGGTCCGGACGGGATCTTGTTTGCCATGCAAAATCATGGGTCACCACGCTCTGTGTGATACATGGTGGGTTATCAACCTAATAAATAAGGATTTAACGTTCTACTTCGCTACCAGAGTCATGAAGAAGGGATAACAATCTCTTGCACAAACTAAGAAGAAGACAGACATCGTGATTTTCTTACATGATCTTTTAGGGCACTTAATTACTGTATAAAACAAAAAAAGTTTAACACATACTTATGGAAGAACAATTACTAATCATTGATATGCACCTTGCCTTTCATCATGTTGTTGTCATGCATGCTTTCTGATTGCTCGCTAGCCTGGAGGTCGTGTGTTAGATCCCTGCAATGGCAGAGACGTTCATCGGGATTTTCCGACGTGGTTTCCCCTTGTAGTCTTGGGGCTCAGGGCGGGGGTGGGGTGGGTGTCCATCAAATGGGCACAAAACCAGACCCAACTTTGCGTTGAATACGATGCCAAGTGGTAATCAGTCCGCCGTTGGGGCGTTTTCGAGATATTCAGGTTCAAAGGTCAAATGGGTTCATTTGCACTGAAAGTGAATGCGCGGTCATTCTTGTATCATCAAAATAAGCTGAAAATGATCGAAAGTAATCACACTTTCAATAAAAATGTAAACGTGCTAAATTCACCTTTGTTCTTTGTGACCCCAAATGTCAAAAGGTCACATTTTCCGTTTTAGCACTAGGAAGATTTAAAGTAATAAATGTCAGCGTAAAATATAAAAACTAAAGCGAAACCTGTTCTAATTAATAATAGGAACATTTAAAATTTATCTTTAGGTGGTCTGAGCACCGAACTTTTACTTTGGAACGTCAAAAATGAACTTGCATAACAGAACCAAAACGCTTCGGAACCTGTTTCAAAGGTACGTAAAAACTGTTAAATCCAAATCTCTCCGAATTAGTTTTACAACGAATGCTATACATAATGATACTAGTTGTCTGGAAAAAAACCAATTGAATAGTTTCATGGCTGGACTCCAGTCTGCAGGCCGCGTCACAAAGCCTGCCAAAATTTTCCCCGCTAACATTTACCAATACGACATATATATCCTGTGAACTACATACAATGCATTCGTCGGTTATATCTGCGTCCATGTCCCGGCGAACTTCATAAAAAATTTGCAAACTTTTAATCTCGTCGTCAGATACATGTTTTCCCGTCACAGATTAACGTCGGTTTTTATAGACTGGGATTCTCGGAAATCCACGCGGTCTGCAGACTGGAGTCCAACACTGAAACTATTCAGTTGTTTTTCAGATAACTAGTATCATTATGTATAACAATCGCTGTGAAACAAATCGGAGAGATTTCGATTTGACAGTTTTTACGTATTTTTGAAACAGGTTTCAAAGTGTGTTGGTTCTGTTATGCAAGATCATTTTCGACGTTCCAAAGTAAAAGTTCGGTGCTAAGACCCCATAAAGATAAATTTTAAATGTTCCTATTATTAATTAGACGGGTTTCGCTTTAGTTTTTATATTTTACGTTGACATTTTATTGCTTTAAATCTTCCTAGTGAAAAAACGGTAAATTTCCCCTTTTGACCTCCAGGGTCACTAAGACTAAAGGTGGATTTAGCAAGTTTACATTTTTATTGAAAGTGTGATTACTTTCGATCATTTTCAGGTTCTTTTCATAATACAAGAATGACTGCGCATTCACTTTCAGTGCAAATTAACTCCTTTGACCTTTGACCCCAAATATCTGGAAAACGCCCCAACGACGGACTGATTACCACTAGGCATCGTATTATACGCAAAATTTTACCCTAGAAAAGTTGGGTCTGGTTTTGTGCCCATTTGATTGACCCCCCCCCCCCCGCGGTGAGCCTCTGGTATATTGTCGGTGGTGCAGGAAGGGGGACCTGACAAGGACAGTTGTCTAGTTGTTCTGATGGTACGAAAAGCCGAGGTCCCGTGTATACATTGGCGTGCACGTAAAAGATCCCTTGGCAGTATAGATTCGATATAAGAGTAGGACATAATGACGTATATCTGTCTTCATTAGCCCAGTCGGAGTAGAACAGTAGGACGTTAAACCCCATTTCATTTCATATTTGTACATAATTGTCCTACACATTTGTTACTGTACTTGCTTGAAAACGTTGAGAGAATACCCCCAGAAACGTAGCCTAAGTAAATCAGTAATTTTTCTTCCATAAGTATGTGTTAAAGTTATTTTCTTACATGGTTTAAGTGTCTTCAATGCATATAATTTTATATAGAAGACGTTAGTTTCCATCACAAGTAACTGTCCACCATCTTGTTGACACTTTCCGTCGGCGTCTTCCCAATTTTTTTTTGGCGTGTTATAAATCTTGACACACAATACTCCTCCTAATATGGTCATATACCCGTCTAGATTACACCTATCTGCAATTATAACACTTCAGGTAACAGAAGATCGGCATAATTGATAAGACCTTTATTATAAACATGAAATAGACATCATTCGGTCTGACTTACTGTCAGGAAACGCATGCTTATAAAGCGTTCAACAATTAGGGACAAAAGTGATCGCCATATATGGTATTGTTTATTTATCAATTTAATTATGATGTCTATAATTACACTGCATATTCTTTTGGATGTCATTGTCAGGTCATAACACTTACCACTACTACATTCTCTTTGAAGTTCTGCCTATTAAATTAATTAGATGTTTAATAAAATCGTAGGGAGTCCGTGCCTTAACCAAGTTTATCCAGAGGTGAAACGCCAATATCAAATATGATCAAATCTGGCAGAGTTCCTGAAGTTCTATGCACCTAAATGATCGTTCAATTTGATGAAAAGTATAAAGATCACTTTGTCACACAATACAATTGTGAATAAAACCCTAAGATCAACAAAAAGGGGTCAATCTAAATGAAAATGGAACGATAACCGTCTAAAATAAATGATATTAAGAATGATCTGTACACATCCCGCGATACACATCGTATTGAGTAATAACGTCTATTTAGTGTCTGGTCACCCGATTAGATTTTATTACATACTTCGAGAAGGTATTTGTTGAGTAATAAAACCTTCTAGTAGTTTATCGAGGGCTGGCCGTCCTTACCGCACGGTACAAATAAAACCTTCTAGTAGTTTATCGAGGTTCGGGTGCTTCCGGAGTCCAAAATGGCCGCTTTATATAAATGAGAATTTTGGGGATAACTAACAAAACCCTAACCCTTTTTAAAAGACTGAACTTGGGTCTAATTTAGTTTTTACTTCTCTTAAAAGGGTTAGGGTTCGGGTTAGTATTCCCCTAAATACTCATTTGTATAAAGCGGCAATTTTGGTACGAGTTCTGGCTTGTTCTGGAATTTGTTGCTTCTAGTGTTGATAATATTTGTACCGTGCGGTAAGGACGGCCAGCCCTAGATAAACTACTAGAAGGTTTTATGACTCAACAAATACCTTCTCGAAGTATGTAATAAATTCTAATCGGGTGGTCTGGTAGGTACGATACCACATGCGTAGTTGGAACCAGGAAAAACTATACAAATACAAATGTGGCCCATTAATTGATGAATTATTGAATTAAGTCATGGCGCTTGGCCCTATGTAAAGCCGGGGCGTGGTTGGAAGAACGGTTAACGCGTGCGCGTTGGATCATATGGTTTGTCATTGATTCCCCGCTTGTACGTGACACATCGTGTGTTTTCTTCCAGTCCTCCGGTTTTCACCCTCTGCCAAGGACCCCTACATGCAAGTGAATTATTGAGATTAACTTGAACCATATGTTAGTCCCGTTCCAAAATGACCTAGTTTGTGTCGAGTGGACGTTAAGCTCTCTCTCCCCCTCTCTCTTTCCTCTGTGTAAAGTCGACTAAAACGAAATAAAAGTCCTGTCAGATTTTGTCGCTTGACAATTATTGGTTAAAATGACTACTTGGCTTTGCTCGAAATTGACCGACATGCGCAGTCGATTACAGGCTCAATCAATAGCCATCAACGCTACTTTCAACGACCCATTAATTTAAATAAAATGAAATATGGTTGAACGTCCTACTGCCATTAATTTAAGTTGCCTGGAGAAATATAGTAAAATGGCACGAACAAAAGCTCGCTGGAGAAATATAGTAAAATGGCACGAACAAAAGCTCGCTGGAGATCTCGTAAAACTATACAAAGTGATACAAGATACAACAGCAATCGTGTGATCCGATTGATCCTTTCGATTATTTGAAAACTGAAAAACAAAATATTTTTCTATTCCTAACAAAGTTAGTGCGTTCGTGCAACCAATTAAAAGAACAATGGTGAATAATCTTAACAAAAGATATGAAAAAAGGAGTTGGGAAAGGTTCTCGGATTTGGCAGGTTGCGCGACTTCAGATATAATTCGTACAAAATACTTAAACATGCATTATACAAGAGCTAAATCTGCCTATTGCAGGTCTTGCTTAGGACTTAATGTTATATAAACTATTTATTAGACATTTATTAACATGACAAGAATATAATCAACTGCAATTTTCAGCATATTCTCTTTACATTATCTTTTTTTAACTATTATAGCGATGACATTCAGCTCCTTATATAATCTTTCATAGTCGCTTTAATCAAAGCAAAATACATTTAAGTGATACCGCGGTAGAAATGTCTGAACATTATCTGTCTTACATTTGTGAATATTAAGGGTTGCTTTGTTAACTTACATTTAATGAGAACGAACGTGTGGTAGTTATTTTTACTTCTTTTAAATCAATTCATAATTTTACAGATATTTGCCTTCTTTTAAAAAAGAAATATTGTACAAGTGTCGCTATTATCAATCAAATCTATACTGATTCCCCCTTGTCAGTGATGCAGGACGGAGGGCCTGACAAGAACAGCTGTCTAGTCGTTCGGATGGGATGAAAAACCAAGGTCCCGTGTACACATTGGCGTGCACATGAAAGATCTTTTGACAGTTGGAATTCGATATACGAGTAGACCATAGTGCCGCTGTCCAGGCAAAACTTCCCTCAAAGCTCACTGTATGGCGTATGCCCGTCTTCATTAGACCAGTTCGGAGCAGAGCAGTAGGACGTTAAACCCCATTTCGTTTTATTTCCTTTCATGTCCGCCATATTGATATTTTGGTCCCTACATAATATTTGTCACAGTAATACACATACACGTATAGAAAAATGTATTACAAATCTCCATTAGACTTGAGCAAAAATGACATTTAGCAACTGAATTAGAATAGCAGAGAAAACCCTTGTTGAAATATCGCCAGAAATATTTTTTGTAAGTAACCTGTATGCCATTTTATAGAAAAACCAATCTTTCGCAACTTCGTATTTTCTTTTAAAACTCGGCCGATCCTAGATGCGTATTATTTTTTTACCTTTAAGCTCGTCGTTAACGTAGATATATTTAAAATTTACTGAACTGTTACCAGGTGCGGCTGCGTTTAAAATATAACAGGATTTGCTGAACCAATAGAAATATGTACAACCTTCAGTAGATACACATAATCGTGCACAGGCAATACGAGATATGTCGTTGATTTCAACTGAATAAAACGAAGTCACATATTTCTGTAAATCATATTTCCTGTAGATAACCTCTTCACACGTGATGACAAGAAACAGCCCAAAAGTAATACCAAAGGTATAATGCAACAACTTCATATCTACAACTTCTAAAATGAAAAAGAAAACATTAATGATTAATTGAACTTCCATCAGTCCAGGGGTCATGGTGGCTAAGTCGGTATGACTCAGGCTTGCTAGCCTGGAGGTCGGGTGTTCGATCCCTGCATTGGCCGAGTAAGTTCATCCAGATTTTCCGGCGTGATTCCCCCTTGTCAGTGATGCAGGACGGAGGGCCTGACTAGGACAGATGTCTAGTCGTTCGGATGGGTCGAAAGACCGAGGTCCCGTGTACACATTGGCGTGCACGTAAAAGATCCCTTGAAAGTTGGAAATCGATATAAGAGTAGGCCGTTGTGCCATTATCCAGGCAAAATGTCCCTCATAGCACACTGTATGGCGTAGGCCCGTCTACATTAGCCCAGTTCGGAGCAGAACAGTAGGACTTAAACCCCACTTCATTTCCATAAGTTCAAATAATTAATGTGAGAGAGATGGGAGGGATCAGTTTAACGTCCACTTGACACAAACTTGGTCATTTCGGGACTAACATCTCAATACGCTTGTGCGTAGGGGTCTTTAACAGTCGAAGGAAAACAGAAGGCCCAACGAGGTTGAAAAAGCGACCCTACTCCTTGTCACGTACAAGCGGGAATTCGGGACTAACATCTCAATAATTAGCTTGTGCGTAGGGGTCTTTAACAGTCGAAGGAAAACGGAAGGCCAGGAGAAAACCCACGAGGTTGAAAAAACGACCCTACTCCTTGTCACGTACAAGCGGGCATTCGGAACCACGCCGCTTGAACCAATGACAGACCCTGTGATTTCACGCGCACGCGTTAAACCTCAATCAATCATAGACATAGATCACATGTAACCAAAAATACGTAAACTTATCCAAACAAGAGTTATCCGTAGTGAAATAGTATCCATCCGCCATGGAAGGGGAAACATAATACGAATAGTGTAGGTGGTTAATCCTGGAGGATATTCAAAGACAAACAAATCCATAAAATGAAATTCCAAATCGATTAAATAGGAGAAATTTCTAAATTGCGAAACTATTAAACTATTTTAATTATTGTTCGTTTTTACTTGTGTCCATGGAATAGCAATTATATTATGCCTCTCGTGCCGGTAAATACACAACTATATAAACTCACCAAATTACAATTAGCTTAAAAAAAACATCAGCGATGATAGCATTCAAACAAATTAGTATAAAATTGATTTAACGTCGGTGGCCATCTTTGATGACGTCATAGTGGGATAACCTACCACGTGGTAAGTGTCCACCCACGTTCAAAATACTTATTTAGGCACCAACTAAACATTTCTACAAATAAATTCTCCCTACTCAAATTTTCCTACAGAACCATAGTCGGGTCCCGGATTATATATGCCAGTTTCATCTAGGTGGCCTCGCCACCATAATTTATGAGCAAGCTGGATGATCAAAAAAAAATATCAAAAGATCCTAGTACAATGAGGTCCATTTCGTTTGGGCGCTTTTATAATCAAATACAACTACGTCTTTCAAATGTTTTCTTAATATTCGATTCATTAATTCTATTTTCTATCTAAATATGTATACCCGTAAATACGGACATAACGTGTCCGATCTACCACGTAGATATTTATCGGAATATTGCTAAACAAAACAAAACTTCATATAATGATGTTAATGTCACAATCAAGCACGGCATTGTTATGGTGTACTTTTAGTACGTTTCGTTAATCACATTATGTCGTACGTGTAAAGGGTCTGCTACTATTTAGACCTGTGCTGGCAAAATGAGTTGGCATGCGAGAATTCTAATATTGAGATACAGACAAAACAAGTGAAAAATTGATTTTGATCGAAATTGAGATTTTCACAAAAATGAGCTTATAATTATACTGTCTATCGACCCAAAAGACCAAAAATAGCAATAAAACATTTTCAAACTTTTTTATTTGGACGTTTTGTAAGAGTACTGCATCCATAAATCTTTATTTTTTCTTAAAATTCTCAGCGAAATTAGTTATTTTTGTCCGCTCGCATCGTGACGACCGTTAAAGCCCCTTAGACAATACATGTACTTGGCATTGTTGTGAAGCGGCGACTCTTTAGTTTATAGCTATGGCCACATTATCACCGATGGTCTCATTTTCAACGAGCACAAACGAATTTTAAAACCCGAACATTACGTAAACACAACCAGCTGATTGATGCTGACATCCCGCGCGGCATACTATAAATTAATTCCCTAGCTTAAAATCAGGACCGCGTATTTAAGTAATACTAGCTAATTATCATGGATTAATTATTCGTTGATTGATAATTGCCAATGATATACATATGAAGCCTTCCGCAAGTCATTATTTACTCCGAACAATTAATCGAAGCGGTCATTATTTGATATTTCGTTTCGTCGTAGACAAAAATCATATTTTGATAGTTGAATTCTGTGGCTCTATACGACACCTAAATTAAAAAAACCAAACATGCCTTATTGGATATTATTGTTTCAAATTTTATTATCACTATGGGTAGGAAACGTGAATTTTGATAGTTGAATTCCGATTATATGGCTCCAAACGGCATGTAAAATAAACAAGCATGCCTAATTGGATATTATTGTTTAAAATTAAATTATCACCATGGGTCGGAAACGTGAGAAAACTAAACCAGTCGAATAACGACGATTATCGAGCGAGAAAACGACCCGCCATTTGTTTAATTATACCGCTGCCAAAACGCACTAAAGTGAACGTAAGCATCTCTTACAATTCATAATATTGAAATTTCTGTCCGTAATTGAGATTCTGATACCGTTACCTAAAAATAACAAAATACATGTTGTACACGCAAAACCTTATTCTAATTCAGTCGTGTGATTGAGATTCTGATACCGTTGCCTGGAAATAACAAAATACATATAGTACACGCACAACCTTGTTTTAATTCAGTCGTGTGACAAAGTTAACAGAACACCCTATACCTGTCTGGGCTTCTTTGACTTACCCGAAATTAAACTTGATTACCCAATAAATAATCTTATCCCCTGACCACCGAGGTTCTAATTATTTGGTGAGATGAACAGAAGTTATTTTCATACAAATTATAATGTACAAAACATAGAGTATGGAGTATTCTTTTTTGATCTAAATTGTAAAACTATGACAAGGAATGTGAATATGCCGCATGTGTTGTGGATGTTTTGTTACGAAAAGAGTGCATTACTGTACAACAATGAAAACACGGTCATTTCAATGCTTCTTCAATGTTAAAAAAAGAATTTAACTTCCAGGCGACTTAAATTATTTTAATGATTGGCCATGTAGACTGACACATCTTCTTTGAATCAACCTAAAACTACGTTTTTGTTTTCAGCACCCTTGCATATTACAAAATATAGTAACAAATATTAGGTGAAAAAAGTCAATAATTGAAAACCATGACGCGGGGTACAGATACCTTATACTACGACATTCGTATTCAGTACCCCTAAAAACCAATAAAATGACATATTGCAGAACACGGTTACAATTATACTGCGAAACCCCCAAAATTGCCATTTTGGTCGCCATATTGGTCAAATTAAATCAACATTGCTGCTTTTATCTTACAGTGAATAGATGAGCTTCTGGTATCAAATATTTAACACAAAATGAAATTTTAAAATTGACACACGAATAGCGTGCCAGAATGCTTTCGAGCGCTATTTGTAATAAAACGAGTTCAACCATATCCAAATAGGAGACCATTACCGATCACGATTGGAGTAACCAGACGCCAGAGAATGCCATTCCATTTGGACTCTTCACGTATTTCACTAAACATAACTGCTTAGAAATTACAGTAAAACATTGATTGAAAGTAAATCAGTTTATACATTCATATATTATTATATGCGTTACGACCCATTTATGTCCATTTTTAGGTGCCACAGATTTGAGATTTAGCTCCTTTAACCCCAATGAATATTCCATGTGATTTGAAAAGGATCAAACAGGAATTCTTTTTTCATGGGCCTGTACCTTTAAAACGTTTCAAATTAGTTTTTAAATTGTATAAGCTTGTATTGGGTGTTTAATATAAAGAGTTTACAGGATACTACTGCATTAGTACATAACCCTTTGTGGTCTTAATCAGTTTATATAATTCTGATCAATATTTGCTAAAAGAAAGAAAAAAAAAAGCTTTTACAGATTACTTGTCTACTTAACATTTCATTATAAAAACATTTACACCTATTTTACTTTTATGATTAATGGAAACGACGCTTTGTTATCTTTCATAAAATATTTGCTACATTTAACATTAAAGTTGAAAGAAACCTTTGGTACCTAAAAGGTTAATTATGAAAACCTATTAACACAATTTAGTTTGTATTATCAATCAAAATAATCTTTATTGTCTTTCACCAATCTATACTAATATTTGTGACCGTGTTTGTTTGTTTGTCGGTCTGTCGGCTACGCTATAGGGCTGTTCCGATGCTGACCCGGGGAGTAACATTTGCGGTTTAAAGTTATGCAAATAAATGAAATGAAATGAAATGGGGTTTAACGTCCTAACTATTCTGCTCCGAACTGGGGTAATGAAGACTTGTAAACGCCATACAGTGTGCAATGAGGGAAATTTTGCCCGGACAGCGGCACTACGGCCTACTCTTATATCGAATTCCAGCTGTCAAGGGATCTTTTACGTGCACGCCGATGTGTGCACGGGACCTGTTTTTGTCCCATCCGAACGACTAGACAGCTGGCCTTGTCAGACCCCTTGTCCTGCATCACTGACAAGGTGGAAACACGCCGGAAAATTTGGATTTGTTTAGTTTGCTCTTAATATTTGTCGAATGACCCAGCGCTTGAACTTTATTCATTGGGTTCCGTCGACCAAACTCAACCCCACTGCTCATATTGGTAGCAAGGTATATCATCATGATTTCCACGAGCTACACTTTGGTATATATAATACCAGCAGCTACAGGCGCCAAATCAAATTCTTGATGGCATGATACAAACAGCATGATATAGTACAGTCAGACACCAGTGTACTAAACGTGGCCAACGCTCAAGAATGTCTTCCAGTGGCAAGGTCAAGGTCTTGGAATGTGTACTGATGACATATTTTCTAAAGACCAGGTTGTGTTACCAAATTAACACGTTTTCTGGCTGCTCGAGGACAATGCTCCAGTTCTCACCGCTCATGTAGAAGTAAGCGATGCAGAGGCTTTTGGCTTTACCCCAGCTCCCTCTGGCACCTTCCTCTTCTAACTCGATGAGTCCTCAAGAGCCGAAGATTTGGACTGATTTAAGGTCATAACTGATGTGGATGAGTTCATTGGGGGTCAGGTTACAAACAGTTGTTTACTAATAGTAAGTGCAGGAGGACCGCACTACACACAAAAAAATCTACAAGATAAACCTGCGGACAAGACAGAAAATAGACATTGCACCAAATAAACAAATATCAAATCCAGTCAATGGATCCGGGGGCCAGCCGTAAGCGTCCATTGCGCTCTACGGGGTTAATGATACTGGGGAAGTGGTGGAGCAAGTGCACTGATGCCAATGGAAATTTTGTTGACAAATACGTTTAACACAACATTGAATCATATTGAAAATTATGTTAGTGCCGAAATGAGCCAGTCTGTGTCGAGTAGACGTTACCCCCCCCCCCCCCCTGTCTCACCAGATTTTTCCCAGAACAACATATAGTCAGAGAATTTCCTAATATATATTTATGTATGAAACTTGTCGAGATGTGCCGTAAGAAATATTATACTGGTATGGTGATTGGTGTTGTGTATGAACAGTTATTCAGTCATTTAAGGATACAATCATGGGAGGTACGCACGTTACTTACACTCACTTTCGTGTTTCGGGACTAACATGTAATGAATTGTACTGTCATTATTCGATCGCATGATATGTTCATTAGGCGAAGCTGTGCTTAAAAGTAAAATTAATGTGTTTTATACATCATAAGGGGTGTTCATGATTAAGACTCCATTAAAACCTTAACAAGTTCCCAGAAAAAAACCATCATGTTGGGTTCAACATCAGTTGGTTCAGAAAAGGTTTTATTCTGAGATGTTTTTCACCACAAGTGATCCGCAAAATATCTCCTAGACCCACTTGTCTCCCTGTGTGGTACTACATTCGACAAGATATATGACTTATAATTTCTTTTTTCAATTTTTTTTCAGACCCCCTAATTACACCGTGTGGTACTAGATTCTCAAAGGTTTTTGACTTATATGGTAATTAGTGATACGTTCAAATACTTTATGGTAATTCAAGTATGTCAAATAATTTTGTGCTAATACAAGTAGGCCAAATACGTTTATGGTAATAGATGTTGAGGGCCATTTTGCCCGGCCTACTCTTATTCCATTTGTCAAGGGGTCTTTTACGTGCACGCGGCGATTAAACACTGTTCCTTGCCATAATCTCCGTCCCGCAACAATACCAAACACATGACCTCCAATATCGTCGTTCAGTTCTATATAATATAATGGTTGCATTATTCGTTAGTTAATGTTCGCTTAAATACAACTTTAGAAATCTCCGTCCCGCAACAATACCAAACACATGACCTCCAATATCGTCGTTCAGTTCTATATAATATAATGGTTGCATTATTCGTTAGTTAATGTTCGCTTAAATACAACTTTAGAAATAAACTGTACTATTTCTTAAAATTTTTATTTTTAAATTTTTTTATATATCAGATGATAAGTTAGATATCCCGCGGTTTAGCTCATGCCTTCAGGTAAGCCGTTTTATATCAAATAAGTTTTAATTACCACGCTAGAAAATAAAAATAGATATCAAGTATACATCTAAATGATACCCTGGTTATGATTATCTTTTAATAAACAGACGAAAACTATAAATATTACCTACCTGTGTATGTGTATGTTTTCAAGATTGACAAACTCACAAACTTTCTAATCGACCAACTAATGTCAATAACTTTCTGGGTTTTTTATAGTCAGTCAAGGTATCACTGACGCCCATCTAGATAATTTCAGCGAATGATATAAGTAATCAATAACTATGTTTATACAGAAGTAGAATAAGTGATTGCCATGTGAACTACTCGCTGTCTGGGCAATATTTCCGTCATAGTAGACTGCATGTAGTATGTCCGTCTTCATTAGCACAGTCAGGGCAGATTCCTTTCATTTCGAATTCAAGTTCATTTTGAAATGTGAAATAGTTATCTTTAATGCGTATATGTCAGGATTTAATTAAAACTAGTTAAATAAGAGAGAGAGAGAGAGAGAGAGAAATGGGGTTTAACGTCCACTCGACACAAACTAAGTTATTTCGGGACCAATACATGATTTAACTTTATTTCAATAATTCGCTTGCGCGTAGTCTGGACGCCAGGGCCGAGAACCCACTTTTGTTTGATATATAATGTTTCTCAGTGGATTATTGTTGGGTAGGATCCCCTTGATTATTCCAGGGTGGGTGTGGTCGTGTCACCATTGGGGAAAATTAAATATTCAAGATGGCGGCCAAAAATGGTGAGCAAAATACAAAGAAATCATTTTTCACCATCCTAGGTCGTCTAATATATCGTTTGATATATTTTCGGGGTCGCTGAACACGAAATCGGGCATATTTTTAACATCCGACCTATTCGGATATTCAAAATGGCGGCGGAAGTACAAGAATTTCATATTTCGCCCTACTAGGTCTTGTGATATATCGTTTCAAATGTTACTTATAATTTTAGCGAAAATTGAAATTTCTGGAATGATTTATCATAAATCCAGCTGTGTGAACTTTTTATTCTATTTTCCGCCTTCATGATGGGTTTTATGTTAAAAACATGTCCGAATTCACGTTAGTAGGGCGAAATATGGAATTCTTGTACCTCCGATGCCATTTTTGGCAGTCATTTTAATTATACTGCTCGGAATAAGTCGGATGTTCAGTGACCCCGAAAACATATAAAACGATATATTACACGACCTAGGATGGTGAAAAATGATTTTTTTTGTACTTTTCCCACCATTTTTGGCCGCCATCTTGAATATTTAATTTTCCCCAAGGGTGACACGACCACACCCACCCTGGAAAAATCAAGGGGACTCTACCCAACAATAATCCACCGAGAAACATTATATATCAGGCAAAAGTGGGTTCAGTGATAATTTGGCATTTGACGGGTCCCGACTATTAGCAGTGGGAGGAAACCGGAGGTCCCAGAGAAAAGCCGCGGGGTTGGACAGGCGAACCTATACCTTGTTACCTACAACCGGGGAATCGACACCACGCCAGTTGACTCAATGACAGACCGTATGATAGAACGCGCATGTGCTAACCATTTGCCCCCCCCCCCCTCCCGGTTAAATAAGTATAGTCGGTATATAAACCAGGATTTTATTAAATTAGTGAATAACGAACATCGAGGTGGCCTGCCACATTATTTGCGAATAAAGAGGGGCTCGCTGCCTCGTTATTTAACTTGTTATTCTGGATTCAAATATGAAGCTAGGCATCACTAGAATGACCGATGCCAAGTATACCCCAGTAGCATAACACACAGCAAACGACATCTAGACGAAAAACAGCCCAGTGTCATTCAAGCAGCGAATAACGAGGTATTTGTTATTCGTGTTCCACCTCGTTATTGGGGATTCAAATATGGAGGTTTTTTTTTAGGTATCTTTTAATTAAAAACGATAAAAACAAGCATTCGATGCATGTGTTCATGGACTAAATGAATAGATTAGAATAAAATAATACCAACACTTACTGAAATGGGACCAATTAGACATAATATTAAAACTAGTAAAGGGAATATAATTAAAATCAAGTAATTAACTGTGCAGAGTAGAATATGTATCAATTTTAGGTGTAAACAAATCTGTTATACAACAAACCTTATAAATTATTAAATACTAGTTAGAGAAAGCAAATTTAAATCAATAAATACAAGGTGCAAAGATCTCTCTCACAATGGATATTGACACAATTGGTGGCTTTAAAGAAGTTATATATCAATAACAGAACACAATTTTTATGGGAAAACAATCACTGGTTTTATTCTAATAGCACGACGTTTCGACAAGTATCCTCTTATCGTTATCAAGCACAATGACATTTAGTAAACTTGGATTTAATATATAAGAGTTCATGATGAAGCCATTTACAAAAATTAAATAATAATAACATTAAGAAGTAAAAGATTAAGCAAAAACAACACAATATAATAGACCCACGGTCCAACCAAAGGATAATTTTGACTAACAATGTTATTATTATTTAATTTTTGTAAATGGCTTCATCATGAGATCTTATATATTAAATCCCCGTTTTTATTCATTCTGTTCTTAATAAAAAAAATGGTAATGCACGGACTTTTTCTAATTTGTTCGTTATCTTTTATCTAATGACAGCCAATTCTTTTTTTGAATTGTCAGATATCCTCTCACCGTCTCATATAATAGCTTTTCATCTTCAACTGAATTATCAGTGAAATGAAATTCGATCGCGTGTCTGTTATCGCTCCTTGCTTCAATCAGTTATCTATATACATGTACTCGTGTTTCGTGTTGGTCGTCACTCCCCGTGCTTGTTACACATCTCCCGTAGCAATGATCTCTGTGTTCAAGTTATATTTGGGATGTATTTAACCAGTTCTATCACATATTTTATAATGACTGACACCAATATTGTCCTTTAATTGACAGAAAGCTGACACAAAGGGTAAAACAAGATGAATATAAAGAGTTCTATGGCAAACAATTACTGTATTTAATTGGAGTTACTTACTGTATTTAATTGGTGTTACTTTTCAAGAATAATATAAAGTACAGCAAAACAAGCTTATTAAACAAGTGGATTTATCAAACAAATGCCTCCTGCTTGGTTTAAATGTTAAGGACATTTTACAGTGCATGTCAACTGTAAAATACACAAGATGGGCACACAAGGTCCATCTACTCCTCCGTGGTGTGCTCGCTTAAAAACAGTTATAATTTCCTGCAGAATAAACGTGCGAATACAAATATACACGTGTTAACTTTAGTTTGGTGTTGACGAGACGTTTAACTTTATTGCATCACTGTCCTATGTCGTCAACCAAATATACACGTGTTAACTTTAGTTTGGTGTTGACGAGACGTTTAACTTTATTGCATCACTGTCCTATGTCGTCAACCAAATCGTTAATAAAAATAGAAAATAAAGACGGAGAAAACTCTCAGCCCTGGTTTACCCCGTTATAGACTGAAAACATTTGCTTAAAGCCACTATATTTTTCTTAAGACTTACACAACTTAAATAACATTTCAAGCCCTTGCATAATGTGTGTTTAATGTAGTCTACATATATTGACATTTATTTCATAATAAATGTTGAACCTTTTCTAATGTCGAACTGCGATATATCAATCATTTTTGTTGTTTATTATTTGAAGTCATATTGAAAGGAGGAATAAGCGTATTTATATAAATAAATCTTTCTCGCGTTAAAGATTTAACATATGATTGAACATATAATAAATCATCAATAATCTTATTTATGGGACCGTTGGATAACCGAATGGTAAGTACGCGCGGGTTGTATCACACGGTCTGTCATTGAGTCAACTGGCGTGGTTTCAATTCCCTGGTTGTACTTGACAACGGTAAATCAGTTGCGTATACTTCAATGCGCCCTTTCAATGTAAACTATTAAGTATCTTAATCAATTAGATACATATCCACAAATTCATATTTAGGGGAACTATTTCTACTAACAGCGTAACGGCACCATGGTAATTATTGTGGTTTGTTTTCGAGAAGTATGAGTGATAGGTTAGTTATTGAAGCGATATTTCGAGGCCTGAATTGTCAATTATTATTTATTTTATAAGTTGAATTACGACTTATTTTATTTACTTACAGCACCAGTAAAGAAAACAAGAGCCTGGAGGATATGATCCATTGAGCGTTAAACGATGCAACAACCAGCTTCATAAATTTTCAAAAGGAACAAGAAAGGTCATATCTTGAATTTTAAGAAAAGAGGATGAAGATAAAAGCAGAGACGGAGAGAGTATGGGAAGAGTGAAAAGCACGGACACCAGAAAGTAGAGCAGCAAAGAAGGGAGAGAGAAATGGGGTTTAACGTCCACTCGACACAAACTAGGTCATTTCGGGACTAACATATGGTTTTAATGTTATTTCACTAATTCGCTTGCGCGTAGGGGTCTTTAGCAGTGGGAGGAATCCGGGGGACCCGGAGAAACCCACGAGGTTGGACAGGCGACCCTACTCCTTGTCACGTGATTCGAAAACACGCCAGTCGACTCAATGATAGACTTTATGATACAGCGCGCACGCTAACCATTCAGCCATCCAACCCCCCAGCAGAGAAGGGAGACTGACTTTAGAGCTGAGAAACGACGACGTGAGGAAAGGGCAAGAGACAGAAAACATAAATTTAGATTATTCCGCAGCAACAATTGCCTTAACAATCAAAGGGACATATTCCACAGCCACAGGTTTCACAACGACCTTATGAACACAAGCATATTATTTTTAAGACATGTATCATTTTGTGCTAAAGCATACGCCATGTAGACGGTTTATGGTTTGAGATAACGATTTAATTTGTTTGTAATAATGTACAGTTTTATTGTTCAGTCCATTGTACCAAGGCTCAAGTTTTAACAAATTTATTTCCATGGTTTAATTATTAATATCCATATTATTACCAAATATATTATGAAGCTGATGTATGTACTTGGTTGTGAAAGGGAACTGTAGTTGCAACGGGTTTTAAGTGATTTCAGTTTCATGAATTTAAAAGTATGAGATTAAAATATTTCAGTGACATTTATGTTAGGTACGCACTATCACAATTCGTGCTGCGACTGAAATCGTGGTTTTTAATCATGGAGCAATCGTGGTGATCCTTTCAGGTCTTATCATATATTGAGGTCAGTCGTAGCAATCGTATTGATCGAATGGAAACGTATCCGAATATATCTGCACGTACCAGATCGTGGACGCGATAGGGACAATCCCATCCCAACGAATGGCACGACGGTGGGGACTGGGAATACACAGGACAATCCCTGTTTATAACTCGGCAAAATTTCGACTTGGCTTCTAATATTTATCTAGCAATGCTAAACAGTATCAGAAGTATTTTGCTTCACTTTACTACTTAAGAACAAAACAGTCTGGGGGGGGGGGGGTCAAAAATGGTCAATTCTGTTTAATTTCATGTATTTATTGAAAGACACACCATTGATCAATAACTTGATAGGTGTAGGCTTGTATTATTTACTTGCACTTATTCAATTATGGACAACAAAGGTGACCATTGGACCTTTTATTATATAATCCATCTCGGGCTTTAGACTACCTGTTTTTTTTATGCATTTCACCGATATGGTTACTTGCCTAGGTAATTTTTTACTTCAGTATGTTTTCATTCATATTTTATGTGACATATGGCAGATCATGACTCATTCTTGTATTTACACAATCGTTTTCTCTGGGTTATATTCCCGATTGTTTGTTTTCAATTTTGAGTGACGTCTGTATCACTACACGCCCGGGACTGTGCAGCGCAGCTTACTGCACGGCTTACGGCTAGTACCCGGATCCATTCACTTAATTTGATATGTTCGTATTGTGTCTTGTACGTGGATTTGTTTTGTGTAATTTAAAAGTGGTGCAGTCCCCGAGCACTTGCAATTAATGAGACGCATGGATCAACAAATCAAAACGGCAAAAGGCACGAATTTAAATTTTGTATCCAAATACCTTTAAATGGGTATGTGACTTAGAAAATGGTTGAAATATTCATATTTGAAGAGATTGAAAATTTTAGAAACAGATAAAACTCCATAGCAACCATTTGGCCAGAGCTGATAACATACAGTTATAAATGCCCCACTGGTGTATCAGATTGTGAGTCATTTCCTGCCCCATGTTATATGATTTTTATTTTTAAAAAAAACGATTTAGTTTGATCATTTTGTTGTTTCGGCAACTACACAAAATGAAGCAATAAAGGTAAACACAAGATGGCATACACACTTGGAAATAATTTGTAGTGAGTATGGCCAATTGTTACTTTATTAACAAATACTTCTTTTGTAAGATTTATTCCTGAAATTATTCATCCAGAATATTTCTAATGGTCGTGCTATCTGCAATTTTCTCCCTTCTGTACATATGCTTGTCCACATATGTTATGAAGTATGTAGCAGGTCATAATAATATTGGGGACCTTGTCAACTTTCACACTTAAGCGATCTTTTAATTGCCCTATGGAATTGTTTACGGTCATGCGTGAAACGCTTAGCTTATAATTAAATGGTGTTTTTTTTTTCTTCTTTGGATCAGGTGTCAATTGTATGTGTATGGTTTCATTAGAAAGTTGGATAATGGATAAGCCGGATCACCTAACAAGACGATAGAAAGGCGCTCATTTATTGATTGCAACCATTTTGCCGTCAAATAATGCACCAGAGCCCTTTTGCATATATTTTGGAGGTTGCGTAGACTCGAGCATCATGAACACTTCCTGTCCACTGGATATTGGGGTATGTTAACTCATAACGATTAGTCACGACCCTCTTGACCAATGGTTCATTTTCGGTCCGAATATAGAATATGACCTGCTATCAACTCCACCAGCATTGGGAAATCAACAATTTGACAGATACCCATTCATAACTCTATTCAATTCTTCACTCTATGAAAATTTAATGATTTTGTCCTTGATCGAAATCGGGGACTCACACAATATGTGTATAATTGAGCACACTGTTGACCGGCCAACTCCAAATAATGCAGAGATATTGGTTTCCTCCGACTTGTTTCTCACGAAATGGTCTCAAAGCACGGAAATGTACATTTTGACATTATGAAGTTTCCCAAGTCTTGTATATAATCATAAAGGCTTAAAGATACATTATGGGAGATTTTTATAAGGAGTTAGCCATTCTTGCTATAACAGTTCAAAAATAGATGATGAAAGAAGAATATATTGAAAATTTCAGTCAAATTACTTTATTCTGAACATAGTTATCACCAAACTGTTTCAATGGCATTTAGTAATTGAACTAGAGTATACAGGTCACAATTCTATGGAATACAATTACTGCTTTGACTAGAAATGGGATTGAATTCCATCTTCACCGATTTTTAGTATGGCCGATCGTTTGATTGACAGGCGTTAACTACACCTACATAATCTCTGCTGTCTTTTGTCTGCTGTCATCATATCCGAATTTGTGTTTTACCTTTTTGGATTTTTATAACAATTGGACAAAATGAGTGAGAACGTAAATTTTGATTCTTACTTGTATTTTGGGCATGCATTAAATCAATTGAATATAGGACATAATATTATAATACAATTATGATAAATCTATAGGTATACACCAGTGTCAGTGGCGTCGTCCCTATTGGGGAAATAAAAATATTTTTATTCATATTAAAAAGACAGAAGACCCGTCCGTCTGTATTATTCATGACACGGCCTCCAGGAATTGTATAATTTGTCATTATCAGTGTTTAGTTTATTGCACTTTAAATAGTTTAGATGTCATTTGTTAAGGCATATCGCTCAACAGCGGCCTCGCTTCGTACACTCTATCATTTAGCCTTGATCCGGGAGTATGACGTCAACGTAACGGTTAATCTCCGCTCACGACGCCATTTAAATCCCGTTTAAACCCTTGCTGAATTCAAGCCATCCGTGGGTCTACAGAGTTGATTTTGTGATTGCTGTGTAAATAAAGATCTAATTTATAATTTCTATGACATCTAAAGCCTAAATAAAGACTTGCAATAATCAGATTTAGCTCTTGCATAATGTATGTTTAAAATAAAATTGAAAGAAATTATATTAGGCAAATAATTAAACTTAAGCATGCCTACCAACATTCTTATTCAAGATAGCAAATTTTCTATGTGGCATGTCTAATGGCACCTGGGTCTAAAATAAGGTTAAATTCTCAGAGCACGGATTTAGAGTCGACCGCCCGCGAGCGCCGCAGGCGCGACTAGCGTCGGCGGGTGGTCTGGGAGGCCTCCCCCAGAAAATTTTGACAATTGAGAGCTTGAAACCGGCATCTGTGGACTATTCTGGTGCAGTTTACATAGGAATTTATTTTGTCGCGAGCCGCTTTTTTCGCATGAAAACTAAGCACTAAGAAGACAACACACCACTTTCGTTACGATAATATAGAACTGTAAGTCAATTCAAGCACCGGTTCCCCATCCATATTTCAATACTTAAAATCGCAGATAACACCGAAAATACGTGAAAATAAGTCAAAAACAAACTTTTTCAAAGTGAAAGTGAAATGACGGTCAAGGTCGGAGCGGACTGGATACCAAGCCTACTGAAAAACATGACTAGTATATTGATGCGGCTGGCGCTCACTCGTCTCATCAGAGGTAGTCGCGAGTGAGCGCCAGGTGATCTGATCTGATCTGTGCAACTGACCACACCACAAGAACACAAGAAGAAACACCCAATTAGGGGTCAGGAGGCATCGCTGACTACACTTTTTTTTTTTTAGAGCACTACACCATTTTTCAGAGCACGGTTTTCTTATTTTCGAAGCACGGATTTTTCATTTCGAGGCACGTTCGTGCTCCAAGGCACGTTATTTTAGGCCTTGAATGGCACAAGCCTATTTAGTATTTGTGTGAAAACTGTTTTGTTGTTTATCTTAGTTGGGAGTGTTACATTTGACACAAATATTTCATTGCTGATTAATTGGTTAATGTATTTTTGATACACCTTGTCCGTATACATATGTGACTAAATTAAAATGATTATAAATTAAAAAGAAAATATGTAAATATCAAATCAAACCTGAATGCGTGATTCATTGTCTTGGTTTCCAAAGTATGGATATCCATATAGTTAGTTATCATGACAACTAGCTCAATAGATCATCCCCTAAATCATGAATGACCACTAAATCCAAGATGGCTGCCGTTGAAAGGCTCTAAGTCAGTTAAGCTTCTTCGACTGATAGTTTTGCATTATAAAGACGTCAAAGTAATCTAATCATTTTAGATACTAATTACATTTCCCTTTCATTATGATCGTTTTGACTCAGATTTGGCAAGATTAGATGCAGAATTTCCCTTTTAGATTACTTGAATCCGCGCGCAAAGAAACGATTCTGCGAATATAAAGTACAAATCTGGATTCATTGACCCCAAAATCTTATCACTGAACACTAAATGTATAGACATATCACACGCAGAACTGGAGTTATAGTAAATTAAGTTATACGGAAGTTGCCACGGCAGCCATCTTGAAATTCAGTGTTAATAATACACCGCCTGTTATTTTCTATGACTGAATTATCTTTCTTTATCATAATAGGCCGCAATCAGTTGACACAAGATCATCCATAGGTAAAACAACTCTCAGAAATAGCTTTTAAGCTATTCTGGCAGCCAGTTTTGATTTTGGGCCGCCATCTTGGATTTAAGGCTGGCCCACAAGCTGATTTGAAATAGTATGTTCCATTGAGAAAACCTTGACTAAAAACGGCGCCACTTTTGCCTGTTATGTACCTTTAAAAAATATTAGTTCCTTTAACGCACAAATAGTTTATTTCTTTCCTTATTTCCTGATCAAACAATGTTTATCTAAAGCTTATTATTTGAAAATATGGTCAGATCAATGTTCAAGATGTTGCCGAAATGTACATATAAGGAAGTTTTGATTTTATTAACTTGTCGCTTGAACATGAATAACAAGGAAGTGATCATATCAAAAAATAATACTTTGATGTTTACAATATGCGCATTTCATAACAACGTGATTATTATTTAGTTATTTCTTCAAAAAGATTTTATAATTTAATTGGTGGAGTATTCTTAATGTTTTATCGTCGCAAAATATGTAATAATATGTAGAGTTTTGAAAGTTGAAAAGTTGATCAATTCACCTGAATATTGTGTCCACATTTCCGCAACTGGGCCCCCTATTAACTCGGACACGGTCATGTATAAATGTGTGTATTTTTTGACTGGTATAAAAGATTTTGACAATTTCATATCTCTAAATGGTTTAGTTCACCAACAGACCCTTTGCAAGCGTGCTTCGCCATCGTCGTATGAATTTAATCCAACTAAATTTTGTGCCTAATACTTGAAACTGTCACTTGGGAGATTACAAATATTAGGCACAAAATTACTAAAGTCGGTACGATGAAAAACAGTCTCGATTATCCATTTTTGTATTAAATCAAAGGGCATTGAACAGCAAATCGGATTCAAATTCAGGAAATATCGCGGGCTAGCGATGACATCGAGAGTTGATTATGGTCTGGATAAGTTAATTAATGTCTAATTAATAATTTAGATAACATTTCAGGCCTAAAGAAAGACATGCAATAGGCAGATTTAGCTCTTGCATAATGTATGTTTAAAGTTTCAAATGAAACGAGTAGTAATCTACTTACCTTAGTAAAGATCCATCATCATTGAAAGTAAAGTCATCACTAAAGGCGCTAATTCCACATAAAGTAACATGCTTTACCCCAGGCCGGAAGTAGGTCTTTCAACGGCAGCCATCTTGGATTTAGTGGACATTCATGGTTTAGGGTATCAGCTGGTTGTCATGAGAAGTAACTAAATGAATAACCATACTTTGGAAACCCAGAAATTGAATCAAAATTTATTATATTATCGATTATGGAGCATGAAACATGACTGAATCTGCTATATCGATGTCCCCGAAACAGGTTTGATAGTTTTTATACAACCCAGTCACACACTTATACATTAATTTCAACATCTAAATGTTCCCATTTATTTTGTTGTCCTGGTTTCTTTTTAAGAATCTTAAAGAAAAAAAAAGAATTAATAAAATCTGTCAAAAAGTCACTATCATAATATATAGGTGAAACATTTTTAGCAGGGCAAAATTGCCTGGGTTTTTTTTAAAACAAATTGAACATAACCTATGTCTACAGATCGATTGTGGTAAAACTTTCAGAATAAGCACCAAATGGCTTAGTTAATCGTTTACCATCAACTTTTTACCCAATTTCAATATTTGACAATATTTTTTGAAAAATCAATTTCATGACGTCAATTTAGAAAGCAGCTAGGTTAAATATCAAGATTCTATCCGTCGATCGATTGCTGATAGTGAATGGTTTCCAAAAATATAAAGATAGTGCAATTCGAATAAGAATTGTAGGATGAGATAGATTTTTTAGTCTAGATTACTCTAAAAAAAATTGATAAACGACTCCTATTGGCAAATATTTGTAAATAAGGAAAACATATAGAAGTTGAAAATCTGACGTTTCCAAAAGGGAAATAACCGAAAAAATTATTATGACAGTATATAGATTTAAGACCTATGATATATTACTAACTTAAATGACATAATTTCATTCTAGAAGCACTAATCTCATATATTGGTTAGCAAATTGACTTCTATTGACAAATATGTTCCAATAAGGCGAAATTAAAGAAGTTTCAAAAGGGAGATAATCGAAAGATTTTTTGTTGACATTTTGGGCTTAATCCTGTCCCATTTGTAACGGATTCTGAAAGTTTCAAGTCGTTGTCTAAATTGCTTAGTTCGACGTTACCTGGCATTAGTATTCATTTGCAGGGTGAAAGTTACGGCAGTGTGGACATCTGCTTAAGGGCTGTTTCTTATAAGGTCAATTCGGGGGTTGGATGGCCGAATGATTAGCACGTGCGCGCTGTATCATAAGGTCTGTCTTTGAGTCAACTGGCGTGGTTTCGATTCACCGGTTGTACGTGACAAGGAGTTGGATTTTCTCTCGGTCCTCCGGTTTCCTTCTACTGCTAAAGACCCCTTCGCGCAAGCGAATTATTGAAATAAAATTGAACCATGTGTTAGTCCCAAAATGACCTAGTAGTGTCGAGTGGACTTTAAGCTCCATTTCTCTTTCTCTCTCTATAAGGTCAACTCAAGATTTCGTCATGGTCGCGGAGATGCGAATAAGGTTAGGGCATGTGATTGTTGACGAGATCGTACGTTAGGGTAAGCGTTAGAGCTAGGTCCAGGGTTAGGAATAGATCTAGCTTTGTTTACATGTAACCTTTGATGAGACTTGAAGTTGACCTTATATGAAATAGATTTTACTAAATTACTTGTGGAAAAGTATAGAAATAAATTTCGTGAAATCTTTTCACCGGATGTTTACATACATGCCAGGAAATGACATGTATCCATGCGTCGTTAACTCCGACCGAAGAGTTGAGAATAGTTAAAACTGGTTTGGCTTATAGTATGTGTGAACGCAACACGATGCCGTCTTAAAAACCCCGGCGATTTTGAAGGGTGGGTAAGACCCTGGCTCACTAACCCGGGTGTCACGTGGTCAAACCCTCTAATGTCCGAGAAGTTCATCGGGATTTTCCGACATGGTTTCCCCTTGTCAGTGGTGCAGGGAGGAGAGCCTGACAAGGACAGATGTCTAGTCATTCGGATGGGACGAAAACCAGGCGTGCACGTGAACGATCCCTTGGTAGTTGGAATTCGATATAGGAGTAGGCCATAGTGCCGCAGCCCGGGTAAAATTTCCAGCATAACACACTGTATGGCGTTTGTTAGTCGGAACAGAACAGTAGGACGTTAAACCCCATTTCATTTGACTAATTCCCAAAAAATGTGCTCTGTCAACTTCTTTCCCCCTTTTTAATCCAATATTAGCAATCAGATCAACACATACAACAGGCAAGTTGTCAGTTGGTTACATTTTTTTCCTGTGGGCGCTCTATATGTGTTTGATTGTCTCCAAATATGTCATATTTTTATTCGTGGTAATGTATCGTTAACATAAAGCTTCAAATGTGTCGCCATCCTTGCTATCATAATCACGATGTCATCATCACCGCCTCATCACCTTCATAGTATGGGGTTGGGGTTTGAGTCGGTTTCTTAGTGATGACTGTGCAAGTACTGAACATGAACTAGCGCTCAAAAGAGCAAAAAGGTAATCGTATTTTGCACAACGTGCTATATTGCGCGTGTTATTGTGTTTTATTGGTAGTGACATATTGCAATAATTTCTCATTTCTTAAAGTATCACCATCTGTTTCAATAGAATATTGTTTATATAGACGTCTATTCGCCGGTGTATTTACTAGTTTATTGTATTGGTGTAAAACAAGTTAACCATCATGCGTCTTGTATTAACCAGTGTTCTACTAGTTGTTGTATTGGTTATATCCTCTACAGGACACCGCCGTGTTCACAGATACCATAGGTACCGCAGATCACACTACAGACACCGTTACTCAAGATATCCACCACCAGGTATGTTAACGGTACTTACTCCTGTGTATGTATCGAATTTTAGCAGGCCCGTAGCTAGTTTAAAAAAAGTTGGGGGGCAAGGGCTTCTGGAGGCGCCGATGTACCCACACTGGACGGTCCACGGCGAACGACACAGTGGACGCGCCTCCCTTCGGAGAAGGGTGTATAGTGCTCTCCCTTCAGGACATTTTGGAAACTAGGGTTTGCACCAGGGGCGTAGAGCTATAAAAATGACGGAAAATTTCAATTTTGAGACTGAATTTGCGATATTGGGGTATATATGAACATTAAACAAATATGAAGGAAGGAATTTGTGAGAAAAACGAAAAGTTCGGAATCGGGTTAAAGTGCGACTTGTTTGAATTTTGAAAATTATCACGCCTGGCTTTCTTATGGTAGATTTCTTCGGGCGTCGGTATCCTGTCGGTTTCTTAGATGGGCGCTTATGATTTTGTCGTGGGTGGCCAATGACATTCGTTGGGCGCTTCGCTAATCTCGTCGTGGGCGGCCAACCAATGTTACTCGGCTTTATGGGGCGTCCATACTGATATGGGCCTCAATGGAAAAGGCAACTGCGGTCCGCTTACCCCCCCACCCCCCGCTAGCTACGAGTCTGAATTTAGTGAGGCGTCCTTAAATAAATGCTTTTAAGGTTTCAATTTTCTTTTTATTTAAAGCGACATAAGGTACAATTAGACAAAGGACTGGCAGTTCTCACTATAATAATTGCTTTGGATGTATTACTGTTCACTTCAAGGTATTAATGTTGCAGTGATTGTTTTACTGTTTCTTGTCGCAGTATTAATGCATATTGTGATTCTTGTCAATCAAACCTGTTAAAGGAGCTAAATCGCTAACATTTGAGACCTAGAAATTGACAAAAGTGGGTCGCAACTCATATAATACTGTAATATGAATGTATATAAACTGATATACATTCAATGGTTTCCGTTTTACTCTAATTTCAAATCAGTTACGTTCCGCCAAAAAGCCCGCAGTCTCAATCGAATGCAAATTTTTAGCGCCTGGTGATTCCAGTCTACATACGCCGTTTGGTTTGGTGCAATATGTCTAGCCTCGTTCCTCGAGTCTCTTGCTAGAACTGGGGCTGAAACGCATTATGGTACACGATTCGTGTTCCAATGACAAAATGTTTATTTTGTCTTAAATATTGGATATCAGAAGCCCATCTTTTTCCGGTAAGATCACAGCATGGTAATCATGGTAATTCGATATACCGGAGATTGCATTGATATAGTTCAAAAGTTTTAGGAAATTGCTATGTCAAATTGCTACAAAGTTTAAAGCGGAAATTTCAAATTTTTAAGTTATATTTTTAAAATGTATTAAAATAAAGCCTTAAAATAGATGGTATCCATAAACAGTCCTACCTTGTTAAAGAATAATCCTATTAATCCTATAATTCACTATTGCCAGCTGAGAAATTGGCAAAAATATCATTTTCAACTTCAAATTCCATTGTTTTCAATAGGAAAACAAGGGAGGTAATTGTGTTATTTCCTGTGTAAATGAGATTTAAGTGTGAGAATGACACCTATGATTGTATAATAGTGAGTTGATAACCTATTGAGCAAAAGACATAGAAATAATTATGTTTTGACTTTCTTAGAAAATATGAAATTCTCGCTTTAAGGAAATAGTTCCTTGTAAATCATCAAATCGGTTGTTTCGAATGAACTGTTGATGTCAAAATGTGGAAAATGGCCCAAGGACCATTAATATATAACTCCTGCAACGAACCAATGCCTAATTAATTCAAATTATCCAGCCAATCACTGAGAGGGGGGAGCTAAAGAACCGATTTAAGACTGATTAATGGTCGGCGAGTTTTCCCAGACATAAACGAAGGGAGCGAGATTGCATCTGTGCATCACGAGACGGGTTTCGATATTACGATATATTAGCAAACAGGATGCGATAACATTATTATCTGCTCCCGTTCAGGTTCATGTAACAGTCTCGCACTGATAGAGAGTGACCCATGAGTAAACTGAGAAATTATTGAGATGACAATAAATTTTCTGATTTTCAAATTTAGATCCCTGTAGACATGTCAGATGTTCATTTGATGCGAAGTGTAAAAATGGTAAATGTTTATGTGGAAATGTGACTTGTTCTAGCGGTGCCATATGCATCAATGATAACTGCGCATGTGCACCGGGTTATGGTTCAGGTTCAAACTGTGCAATCCGTAAGTACCCTAAACAATAATGATATAGAGATATCGATTAAGCTATCTTGGGCCCCAATCGTTCGGAGGACACAAAACAAAACGAAGTCCCGTAGTGCCGCCGTCCAAGCACAATTTCTTCATTAACCCAGTCGGAACAGTAGAAGGTTAACCCAATTTCATTTCCGCGGTGGATGGGGGGGGGAGCCTTATCTGGAAAGGGCAGTCACATCACACACATGCAATTTGTATGTCAGTATGATATATAGATGTATGTCACAGAAATGCTGTGAAATAAAATGGTGTTTAACGTCCTACTGTTCTACTCCGACTGGGAAAATGAAGACGGGTATACGCCATAGTTTCCTATGAAGAACATTTTGCCCGTACAACGGCGCTATGGCCTACTCTAATATCGTATTCCAAATGCAAAGGGATCTCTTACCTGCACGCTAATGTTTACACCAGACCTCGGTGTTCCGTCCCATCTTACAAACTAGACAGCTGTCTTTGTCAGACCCCCTGAACAAGGGGAAAACACGCCGGAATATCCCGGTGAACTTCTCGGCAAATACAGGGTTCGAACACGTGACATCCTGACTAGTTATATAATGTACACAATTATGTTTAGCATTAATTTGAGGGCCCTGATTGCAGCCCCGCCCCGGGGCTCCTTTTTAATTCCTATAGATGGCGATTGTAGATAGCATTAATAATTGAGTGAGAGATTTTAAAACCCTCACGAGTTCTATAAGAGTCCGAATAGTCCAGTCTTCTGACTGCGATTTTCTACAAAATTGCCAATTCGAGTACGAACGAAATGAACCTCGGAATGCTTGATAATTTTGGATATTCGTCATATTTCTGTACATTTTATTTCTACAGCTGAAACGTGTAGCAAGTGTCAGAAGAATGAAACCTGTACTACTATAAGCCGTGAGTTAACATATACTATTCAAAAAAAGTAGGGGATATTTGATTTTGGGGGCATAATACTAAAATATGCAAATGACTACGAAAAAAGTCACTACAGAACCTAACAGAAGAAACATTTCCAGTTACATGTGACGCCCAAACGCACCAATAGCTACCGCATGGAATGCAGGTGATGCTTGGGATCATCATGGGGGTCCAACCCAAGATTTGCACGACTCTGACTTTGAATGTTACAGTCATTGTGGCATTGAATTCCAGGGTGGAAACATCAGTTTAATTGTTTTAGTGACCAGAAAACAAATTTTGATATGCGTCGGCTTACCCAAAATGAAAGGTTACGTGCCCTTGGCATGCTACAGATCGGCACAACACAGGCGGTTGTGGCGCGGACGATGAATGTTTCTCAGTCTGTCATAAGCAGGCTATGGTCCAGATACCGTGATACACAATCTGTACAGGACAGACCACGCTCAGGTCGACCAAGGGCGACAACTCAAGCCCAGGATCAATTTATCCGTACCTTGGCCTTGAGAAATCGTGTCATCACAGCAATTCAGATCAGCGCTCGTCTTCAAACAGACACTGGTGTGAGAGTGAGTGGTCAGACGATTCGGAATCGACTGCATAGGGGTCACCTTCGCGCCCGACGTCCTCGCGTGATCCCTTGTTTGAGAGATCATCACATTCAGGCAAGTGGTCGTTGGTGTAGGGATCGTCAACACTGGGATAATTGACGCTGGAGCAATGTGATGTTTTCAGATGAGTCAAGGTTCACTGTTGATCTTTTGGACAGACGTAGGAGGGTGTGACGTCGTCGAAACGAGCGCTTCCAAGACGTTAACGTCATCAGACATGATCGATTTGGGGGTGGTTCTGTTATGGTGTGGGGAGGCATCACTGTTGCTGGAAGAACGGCTTTACATGTTGTTGCAGGGCGTGTTACAGGCCAGTACTACCGGGACAACATCTTGGCAGTCCATGTTGTGCCGTTCGCACGACGTCATGGCCGCCGTTTCATCTTCCAGGATGACAACGCAAGATGTCACAGGGCAAGGATCGTTACAGGTTACCTCCAACAACAGAACATCACCACATTACCTTGGCCAGCACTGAGTCCCGACCTCTCCCCCATCGAGCATGTCTGGGACATGCTTGGACAGAGGTTACGTCAACGTCAACAACGTCCTACCAATGTCCAAGAACTTGCTGCTGGGTTGCAACAGGAATGGGACAATCTGGACCAAAATGACCTTAGACGTCTCATTAGGAGTATGCCACGTCGGATCAATGCTTGTTTGGCAAACAGAGGAGGATTTACCCGTTACTGACTTGGTTGTGATGCTGTGGTAACTTTGCTGTTTGACCCCGGGTATCATTTTACCCTTATAATGGTCAGTCTGTGCCTTACTTAGTCTAACGATCATTTGGAATAAATCGATGAATGTGAACTTCATTTCATTTTGTCATTTGTTTCTTCGTCAGTTTCATTAGGTGACTTTAATAACACTTAAAAATCAAATATCCCCTACTTTTTTTGAATAGTATAGCTTTCTAAAATCATCCATTTACAATCGTGACAACCCGTAGGCATACTAAACTTCGGCTGCCTGCATGTCTACAGTTAGCTCCGCTTGCGAACAGACACTAAGCTAGTTGACCGGCATTTTAAATCCCAAATCGACGATTTTAGTCGAAAACACTACGCATACTTCGAGAAATTTGAGAAGTACTACTTCCATTTATTGGAATTGAATAGTTTATTTAGTCTTTGTGTGTATATATGTCAGATGTGAAACGGAGTAGAACCACGTTACAAAACATTATACTAATGGCGGCCATTCAGGACAGAGATCTATTCTCTAACTATGAAGTAGATGGATCTATGTGTGCAAAATGAACCCGTGGGATATCAGTCCGGAAACTGGTTGTTATATAGAGAATCTCCTACGATTCCATTTTGATATCAAAAATATCAACACAAGTCGATAATGTCAAAAGAACGAGGCTTTTCCGAGTTTATGTGTAATTTATCGACAGGTGTTGATATTTTTTGATATCAAAAAAGACGAGTAGGAGATTTTATTTATCATGCAACACTTCCTTACACGGACACATAAATAAATATAATTCTTTAATTTAGATTTTATTTCATGTAAAGCGATATTTCCTTATGAGATATCGCTCAGATTATGAAGCGATATTTTGATATGAGAAATCTCTCAATAGATTATGGAAGCTACCACACAAGCGATATCTACTGTAGAATGTGTTATTGGGTGATAAAGCGGAATGTCACAGTGCTTTGGTGATTAGAGGCTTTTGGCAAGCGGAATTTTCCCCATCCGTATCAAGTATCCATATCGTCATTGTGTGATACGTTGCATCAATGTAGTTTTAGAATTTTGGCAGATTTTCGCGTCGCGTACCTATGAGTAGCTGAGCTGAGTTTAGTTCTATTACATACAGCATGATGGCAGTTATCAACCAAGATCAACATCAGTACCAGCCGACAAATTCCTGGAAGGAGTAAAGTCGCCCGACAGTCGCTGAGCTATTTAAAATTTAAAAAAAATAGTGTCCAATCTTATTAAAAATCCTCGACTTATACGGACATTTTCCGAATGAAATCTGTTCGATACGTGCTGTCGTATCCGTGTACCGTATCACGAAATAGTATGAGAAATACACACGCATTAATGACGTCTCACGCAAAATCGATACAGATACGCGATACGGACCACGAATTTAAGCTTGCCAAAAGTCTCTGTTTACCATTTCCTAAGTACCTATGCGTCTATTTCTAGTTGGATGGGACGAAAGCACTCGGGGTCCATGTAACGACTTTGTGACATGTGACGGACCAAGATGGACCTGTCCATTTATAGGCTGCATGGCCAGAGGTAGGTACCTTACAGTCAATTATTTGCCTATATTACAGAACCTGTACTCGGCCGGAACTAAAACGAAAATTGGGTGTGATTACGTCATTTCGAATATCGTGTGGAACTCGGATTTCCGTTCACTCTTATTCTGACGTCTATCGTTTGATCGGGCTTTACGTTGTTTTCTTTTTATAATAAATCCGTGTTTATAATTTATGGGGAGCCACGGTGGCTAATTGGGTAAGACGCTGGCTCGCTAGTCTGGAGGTAGTGTGTTCGGTCCTCTCATTGGCCAAGAAAGTTCATCGGGATTTTCCGGCATGGTTTCCCCTTATCAGTGATGCAGGACAAGATACAGCTGTCTAGTCGTTCGGGTGGTACGGAAAAACGAGGTCCCGTGTACTCATTGGCGTGTACGTAAAAAAATCCCTTGGCAGTTCGTATTTGATATGAGTAGGCCGTAGTGCCGCTGTCCTGGCAAATTCTCCCTCATAGCATACTGCATGGCGTTTGCCCATATTCATTAGCCCAGCCGGGACACGGAGAAAGAGAGAGAAATGGGGTTTAACGTCCACTCGACACATACTAGGTCATTTCGGGACTAACATATGGTTCAATTTTATTTCAATAATTCGCTTGCGCTTAGGGGTCTTTAGCAGTGAGAGGAATCCGGAGGACCCGGGGAAACCCACGAGGTTGGACAGGCGACCCTACTCCTTGTCACGTACACGGTGTATACCTTATAAATTATCGAAGAACTCTGAATGGTGTTTTATGGACAATAGCGCCCATTAAAGATGCATTATGTAAGATGTAGATTAAGAGCTGTCAGTTATCGCTATAATAGTTAAAAACAGACCAGTTGTTACCGTTGTTTGCTAGCATTAGTTAAGGTAATACACAAAGTCTCGATTATCCATTTTTAAATGAAATCATTAACTGTCAATCTTATTTAAATCTAATGAAAATCAAAACCACCTGAAGTTCTAGAGAATTAATTAAAAACTAGATAATGTAAAGGGAATTTGCTGAAAATTTCAGTCATATTCTTTCACGCTGAACCGACAATTTAGCGATTGAATTTTGGGACTAGCCTCGATCATCATTACTAAAGTCAGTACGATAAAAAAACATAGTCTCGATTATCCATTTTTTGATGTAATCAAAAAGCAGATCGGATTATAACCCAGTAAATATTGCAGGCTAGCGATGACTCCGAGAGTTGCTTATGGTCTGGATAAGTCAATTAATGTCTTAATTAATAATTTATATAAAATTTCAGGCCTAAAGAAAGACCTGCAATTGGCAGATTTAGCTCTTGCATAATGCATGTTTAATAAATGTCTAATTAGTAGTTTATATAACACTTAAGGTTTAAAAGAAAGAGAGGGGGGGGGGTTAACGTCCACTAGACACAAACTAAACATTTCGGGACTAACATATGGTTTAATTTTGTTTCAATAATTCGCTTGCGCATAGGGGTCTTTAGCAGTGGGAGGAAACCGGGGGACCCGGAGAAAGCCCACGAGGTTGGACAGGCGACCCTACTCCTTGGCACGCACAACCGGGGATTCGAAACCACGCCACCAAAAAAGACTGCAATAGTCAGATCCAGGTGTTTGATAACGCCCGTTGAATGTGGTATACTTTAATAATAGCAATATAGATGGGTTTTTTTATTTACAGGTATAAGATGTATAGACGACTATTGTGTTTTCGCTCATGCACCCTATTATATGGGTATATGTCGGGGTGAATCGTGTTATGGTAAGAATTACTGCATTTAAATTATGGACTAGGAAGAGGACATAGGATTAAAACTAGTAATTTATAGCAATTCTCTCCCCCCCCCCCCCACCACCTATTCGTGATTTTGGGGCGAACGAATCAGACATGAATTACGTTGATCGCCTACTAAAATGGCATCATGGCCTATTGACCAGGCCTATCAGAATATCTAGATTATTCACCGGTTGTAAATATTTTATTAGATGATTGTGACATGTTAAGCTCTTTGCGGTTATAACGATTAAGAACATCGCAATGTTTAAAATACACTTAATAATGCAGAGCTGGCCTCGATGTTCGGGGAGAGGGGAATTACTAGTCTGGTTAGCCTAGACTAACCTGCTAACGTGACAGAAGAATTACTAGTCTTGAGTATACTAGCTACCCTGCTTACATGACAGGGAAATTACTAGTTTCAGTAGCCTAGACTATCCTGCTTACATGACCGGGAAATTATTAGTTTCAGTAGCCTAGACTATGCTGCTTACATGACAGGGAGATTACTAGTCTTGAGTAGCCTAGACTACCCTGCTTACATGACAGGGAAATGACTAGTTTGAGTAGCCTAGATTATCCTGCTTACAGGACAGGATAATTACAAGTATCCTAGCGACTACACTGTTTGAAAATTTACCGCGGATCATTCCTAAATGGGTGGCCGAATAATTTAACGCGTGCACCTTCATCATAAGGGCGTGGTTTTGATTATTAGTTTGTGTGTGTGGGCGTTAAACCCCATATGTTATTTTAATTTCAGTTGGAAGTAAATATGTATGTAATGATAACTCTGATTGTGGGAACGTTGCTAATTGTACTTACGGATGCTGTGACTGTAAATATTACATTATTTAAAATTAAGTATTGTTCATTGTTTCTGAATTTAAAGAAAGAAATCGCTTGTCTCCTCTCGCAGGTCACGGGTATATAATAGACCACAAATTACTGGCGGCACCACACGGAAGTCAATTCTAGCGACCGCGCATGCGTATGTTTCATCATATCATAGTGGAAACACGTGTCATCGTTGTAGTTAAAGGTCAGATCTATTCCCCAAGTCCAAATGCAGATTTCCTCTGTTGTCGAGGATTGAGTGTTAGGGTAAGGCTTAGGACTAGGTCTTGGGGTAGGTTTAGGGTTAGCGCTGTAGACCTGTATACCCACCCCACCCCCGTAGAAGACAGACAGCTATGGTTTCTGCGCCAACCCAATCACCATCTTTCATTTTATTGTCCCCCGCCTTTCGAAGAAAGCAGGGGACTATTAAAATGGGTTCGTACGTCTGTCTGTCTGTTCAAACTTGGTGTAGGTGTTTATTAGGTCAATGCCTTGATGGAGTTCGAAGATGAGCATTTTCGGCTTAGGGTAAGCAGAGATAAGCAATTTGATTGGTTGATGCTTTCGGACACGATAACTTTAGTTCTAATTACGTGAGAGTGATGAAACGTGGTGTATAGTTTCATTACATCAATACCTTGACTAAGTTCGATAATGAGCATTTTTCTGCTCAGAGTAAGCAGAGCGATAAGCAATTCGATTGGCCGAGACTTTGGAACACAATAACTCTCCTTCTAATTGAGCTAGAATGTTCAAACTTGGTGTAGGTGTTTATTAGGTCAATGCCTTGATGGAGTGTGAAGATGAGAAATTTCTGCTTAGGGTAAGCAGAGATAAGCAATTTGATTGGTTGATGCTTTGGGACACGATAACTTTAATTCTAATTAAGTGAGAGTGATGGAACTTGGTGTATAGTTTCATTACATCAAAACCTTGACTAAGTTCGATGATGAGAATTTTCTGCTTTAGGAGCAATAAGCATTTTGATTGGTCAAGATTTTGGAACATAACAACTCTTCTTCTAATTAAGGTAGAATGTTTAAATTTGATGTAGATGTTCGTCGTGACTTAGTTCAATGATTAACATATTGAGCTAAAGCTAAGCAGAGATAAGCAATTTCCTTGGTCGATGCTTTGGCGCAAGATAACTTTGATTCCATCCGATAGAGAGTGATGAAACTTAGTGTATAGTTTATAATCAGTTTGATTACTTGATACTTTTGAAAAAATAGATGTGCGATTAATTAATATGTGTCATTTATTTATTTGGGGATTTCGGCGGGGGACATCAACCTCATTGTTGGCTTGTTTAATTTCAGATGAGAACCAAACAATGTACGGTAGCTGTGAATTCGCGTATGCCAGAGAGGAGTGTATTCCTTGTACAGGTAATATCGTTGCTGCTTATTACAAATTTAACGTCCAATCCATTATACATCAATCTGATTAAAACACAGATCCTATTTCGTTTCGTTTATTTTTATAGCTCAAAATGTCGTTTTATTTGTCTGTACTACACTAGGATCTGGATGAGTTGGTATATAACCTGCGTTCTGGATGGCGTGAGGGATTAGCCAATGAAACCATCTGTTACGGCGACTTCTTGTCGTGCGATGCACGGGACTGTGGTTAAACCACTAGAAACGTCAACGCTGATTGATTAATCAATGTCTGACGGCATAGGTCAAAAGCCGCTCGCACGACCCCTGGTGCAATATCCCAGTACAATTGGTCAGATCTTCATGCAATGTAGGCCATCGAAAGTATAAAAAAAACGAAACAAAATATAGATCTGTATTTTAATCAGATTGATATCGCAGACATTATAGACGGGTTGATTTAAAGACACATTATGTAAGAGCTACATCTGCCTATTGCTATAGTCTTTCTTTTGGCTTCAAATGTTATATAAACTATTTTCTAGACATTTATTAACATTATAAGCCTATACTTAACCCTATAGGGCATCGGGTGGCCGAGATGTAAATGGATTTAAACATCCGAGATATTTAATCGGGCTATAAGTCTCGCTCGGGGGTCATAACTCCGAAACCGGCAGTGGTAGACTAACGCCACCTGGCCTATGTTACTCCCCGGTCCGAGCTACCCCTATACCCCAAATTTCAGACTCGGGTCAGACCTAGTGTAGCCGCCAACCCCGAACAGACCGGCTTCGCTCGGGGGTCATAACTCCGAAACCGGAAGTGGTAGACTAACGCCACCTGGCCTATGTTACTCCCCGGTCCGAGCTACCCCTATACCCCAAATTTCAGACTCGGGGCAGATGTAGCCGCCAACCCCAAACAGACAGACTTCGCTCGGGGGTCATAATTCCGAAACCGGAAGTGGTAGACTAACGCCACCTGGCCTATGCTACGTCCCGGTCCGAGCTACCCCTATACCCCAAATCTCAGACTCGGGGCAGACCTAGTGTAGCCGCCAACCCCGAACAGACCGGCTTCGCTCGGGAGTCATAACACCGAAACCGGAAATGGTAGACTAACGCCACCTGGCCTATGTTACTCCCCGGTCCGAGCTAACCCTATACCCCAAATTTCAGACTCGGGGCAGACCTAGTGTAGCCGCCAACCCCGAACAGACAGACAGACAGACAAACGACAGTCACAAATATATATATAGATAGATATGCCAAAGATCTCGGTTCCTGTCAATATTGGCGCATACCGGATTATGGCAGCTCCCCAATCCCTATTCAGACACAAGAAAAACTGGGTATGGACATAAAACATCATGTATTATGAAAATATCAATTTAAAGCATGGTGTTAGAATTTGTTGTCGTTAGGGGCTGGATCGCTCACGTCATTATAATGAAACAAAGTTAAAACAGGAGTTCCTGCTGGTTGGTGTTTCGAATGCGAATAGAAAAGAACCGTGGGGAAAATCCGCTTGCTGTATGAAGAAAATCAATTAATTATACATTTATTAACACAAGACCATAATTTACTCTCGATGCCATCGGATGGGTCTGATGCTAAGTAGATTAGAATGATTCGGCCATTTAATGATCCAATTAAAAAATATTGAAGGGGGGGGGGCTAAGCCTCGAACAACCAGTACGTTGGTTTCAATCAGTGCACACAACAAGTCGAATCTTCAAAGACTAATATTTTCTCTCAAAATTAAGTAACTTACTTGAAATTTTCAATATATTCATTTTGCATTATCTATTTCACAAAAACGTAAATCTCCTTAAAGTTTCATCCTAACTTAAGATAAATGAGGTTCATGAAACCCTGTGTCACTGAGAGAGAGAGAGAGAAATGGGGTTTAACGTCCACTCGACACAAACTATAGGTCATTTCGGGACTAAAACATGGTTTAATTTATTTCAATAATTCGCTTGCGCGTAGGGGTCTTTAGCAGTGGGAGGAAACCGGAGGACCCGGAGAAAACCCACGAGGTTGGACAGGCGACCCTACTCCTTGTCACGTACAACCGGGGATTCGAAACCACGCCAGTCGACTCAATGACAGACTTTATGATACAGCGCGCGCACGCTAACCATTCAGCCTTCCACCCCCCCCCCTCCCCGTGTCCCTGTTTTACCATATGATTCAAGTATAAAGTATACTATTTTCAAATAATTAACATACAAACAAAAAATAAATAAATAAATAAAATAAAGAAGAAAAAAAGAAAATCACATCATATTTAATGTCGTGAGAAGAAAAGCACTCTTTTCTATGGTTTAAAATGAAGGCTTACGTTAATAACACAACGTAAATCAAAGAGGTTTTAGAAAGGAAATCATCATTTTAATTGAGTAAGACAGATAGGTACTTGGACATTTTCAAAGTATCATTGAAAGGGTCTGTTGGGATGACATTTCAAATCTAGGCATCGGAACATTGGCTATTTAACTAAAATCTATTAAAATGGTATTTAAAGTTACAATCGGTCTTGGTAAACGCATAAAATTTAAAATTTCATTTTGATTTTAGCTAAAATCTATTTGAGTGATTTTAGCTTAAGTTTTTGTGAAACAGGGGCCAGCTCTTTATCTAATTTTTACATAATGTGTCTTTAAAAGACGTATTAATTAATTAGTGATAGACTGGCATTTATATAATACATTATCTAAGCCTTAATGTTGTCAGCTCAATCCGTGGTTCCCCCTTGTCAGTTACGCAGGACAGAGGGTCTGATAAGGGAAGCTGTAATCGTTAGGATGGGACGGAAAGGCGAGGTACCGTGTACACATTGGCGTGCACGTAAAGTAAGGGATCCCTTGACAGTTGGAATTCGATATAAGAGTAGGCCGTAGTGTCGCTGTCCGGGCAAAATTTCCCGCATAGCACACTGTATGGCGTATGCCCGTCTTCATTAACCCAGTTCAGAGCAGAACAGTAGGACGTTAAATCCCATTTAGTCTGCCAAATAATCCTTTTCAAAATTAAGAGAGAAAAATGGGGTTTAACGTCCAACTGACACAAAATAGGTCATTTATGGTTTAATTTTATTTAAATAATGTGCGTACGCGTAGCGGTCTTTAGAAGTGAGCGGAAAACGGAGGGGTCCGAAGAAAACCCACGAGGATGGGTAGACTCTATGGTAGACCATATCGTCAAACGCGTATGCGTTAAATCACTAAACCACCCCCACCACCACCCCCACTTTGGCAGGATAACGAAGAAATGTTTTTTGTCAAGCGACAATTCAACAAGTCTAATACAAAAGCCCCTCTCCCATCCCTCCGTCACTCTCCCAATAGTGATCGTTCTCTCTAATCATCATCTTATCAAATGGCAAGGTTTATCTTTATGTTTGGTATCTGTTTGCAATTTCAGCACAATTTAGATTTGAACCTGTATGTGTCCTTACAAGGTATGTACAATCAGTGCGGTTTAACCAGAGAGAGAGAGGGGGAGAGAAAGAGAGAGAGGGGAGGTTTAACGTCCACTCAACACAAACTAGGTCATCTTTGAACTAACACATGGTTCAATTTTATTGAAATGAGTCGTGTGCGCGCAGGGGTCTTTAGCAGTGGGAGGAAGCCGGGGGACCCGGAGAAACCCCACGAGGTTGGACAGGCGACCCTACTCCTTGCCACGTACAGCCGGGGCATCAAAACCACGCCAATGCTCTCCCAAATTCTTAAACCTGACCTACAATCTCGCCAACAATCACGTGCCCTAGCCTTTGCGTTCGTCATTTCCGATTGTTGAAACGCATCTATCGTAGCAATGATCTCTGTGTTAAAATTATATTTGGAACATGTTTAACCAGTTTTGTTCATAAGATATAATATTAATAATTATTTGGGATTATAAACTAGATAATAATCACCAAAAAAGCACCAATTTTATTTACCATCTTTGTTCCAAATTTCATCAAAAAACAAGATAATAAAGGGTGGTGATGACAACAAAGGTCGAATTTTCTCAGTTATGCTTGCGTGGATTTTCATCAAATGTGGCGTGAACAATGCTAAGTGCAAGTCCAAGAAACATACGGTTCACTTTTTGTCTATAGACCTTGATTTGTCTGGTATCCATGGAAACGCAAAATATGATGAGTTTTCTTGCAAATTCTTTAATTCCATGGTATAAAGAGATCGAAAGTAGAGGTTACAAGTGACATTTCGACACCAATAAACGTTAAAAAATATCAGCTCAAAGTATTTTAAAATGTATGTTCATTTTTTACTTTCTAACGAGATTTTGTGATTTTTATAAAATTCTTTGAATACCTCCACAAATTTTAAAATACAATTCGGATGTAAAAAGTCAATTTGTACTTAAATGAACCATTCCGGAAACTAGGTCATTTTGGAGAAAACCAACGTGGTTGGAGAGACGATCTCACCCCCTGTCACGTGCAAATAGGAAATCAAATCACGCCACTTGACTCAATGACATACCTTTCGATACAACGCGTACGCGTTAACCATTTTATTTAAACTGTATAATAAGGGAGATAATCCACATAGAATTAGGAACACGTTCAAATTAAAAATTATATAATTGCACAATATATAATCAGCTATATACATGGTTGTTCGGATGGGACGGAAACAGAGGTCCCGTGTACACATTGCCGTGTACGTAAAAGGTCCATTGGCTCCGGTATGGATAAAGCTGTTGATAAAGTAAATATTGTCCGAAAATACAAAATGTCGATCGAAGGCTGCACCAACCGGGATACTAAAGACGCGAAATATGCTGTTAACATTGGATGTTTGCGCCTACCGGGCTACTGAAAACTGGAAATACGCTATATTCTCTGCTGTTTGTCCCTTCCGAAAGACTTGACACTGTTTTATGCTGACAGTATAATAGATATTCTTTATTAACATGAGTCATGCGTGATATTAAAACAAACCCATCTTATTTTATTTCAGAAATTTGCGCATCTTCTTTCTGGAACCTGGAATCTATATTTCTGGTAATGACAATTATTAATAAAAGAATGCATTTGTTAATGGCATCATATCATCTGTCTTATGTTCTTCTTTAAGCTGCGAGAGAGAGAGAGAGAGAGATAGATAGAGAGAGAGAGATAGATAGAGAGAGAAAAGAGAGAGAGGGTGGGGACGTTATCTTCCCATTCTCTGTACCATGAACCAGTGTGTTAAGAGGGAAATATTTGCCTGCCAAGGGTGCTTTAATGTGCACGCCAACGTTTCTCGTTTTCGTCCAGGTCGAACGGCCATGCTGTTCCTGGCTAGGCTGAGCCGACGCGGCTCCCAGATCCAAGATGCACACATCATATGTGTTTGTTGTCACTGTGGTTCAGGAACTTCAATATCTGCTAATTTTTTAGCTATCTAATTAATTAGGATTATTAACACATGTTATCGCAGTCATGTGAACAATCGCAGTCCGTCCATCGATTCACAATTGTCCAAGGTACACACATGCCAAATTTAAGCGTTTTTCGAAGAGCTTCGCGTCCAAGACAAAAGAGAGAAAGAGAGAGAGAGAGAAATGGGGTTTAACGTCCACTCGACACAAACTAGGTCATTTCGGGACTAACACGTGGTCAATTTTATTTCAATAATTCGCTTGCGCGTAGGGGTCTTTAGCAGTGGGAGGAAACCGGAGGACCCGGAGAAAACCCACGAGGTTGGACAGGCGACCCTACTCCTTGTCACGGACAACCGGGGAATCGAAACCCCGCCAAGGGACTCAATGATAGACCGTATGATACAGCGCATTGCGCACGTGCTAACCATTTGGCCATCCAACCCTTCGCGTCCACGACAAAGAACAAGCTGAGTAGAAATGATATGGGGTTTAACGTCCTTCTTTTCTGTACCAACTGAGCTAATGAAGACGGGTAAACGCTATGAGGGACCTTTTCATCGGCGTACGGGTTCGATGACAGTTATGGCGGCAGAACCTGAAATGTCCGAAAAAAAATTCGGGTTACAGGCGGCGTCGTCGGTCTTCTGTGAGAGCGGGGGTTATCGTGTAGCGACCAGCAAGCAAGTTTTAGAAATTTAACGGTCGCAAAAGCATTTCCTGCTATTATAATCCGAGAATACAGCAATTTTAAAGTGGTCTAATATAGCCTAATTAAGATGGCTGACTTGAATTCCAATTAACCAATCAATCGTTTACAGTCCACGGAGACGGTACCGTCGGGAGAAATTTTTGAATATTTAAATGACGCAAACGTGACCTTGTTTACGGCGATCGAGTCAAGGTGAACCATCTCAAATGGTGACAACTACTTACCATCGCAATTATGACTGGTTTCGATACCCAGGTTGTACGTGACAAGGAGTAGTGTCGCCTGTCTGACCTCGTGGGTTTTCTCCGGGTCTCCGGTTTCCTCCCACTGTTAAAGAGCCCTACGCGCAAGCGAATTATGGAAACACAATTGAACCATATGTTAGTCCCGAAATGTCGAGTGGGCGTTAAACCCCATTTCTCTCTCCCCAATACAGTTAAAGTCTAAGGGAGATAACTACATTATCGCTGGACAACAAAATGGATGCAGACCACCATTTCGATCTCGGTTCCTTTTATTGTCTCTGTCATTCAGACAAATATTCTACGAATATTAGTCGTGATGGGTTGTAAACATTTGAGAATAACATGTCATTGGCTAGATTATCCGGTCTTTTACATTATCATGAACAATGTCTGGCTCAAAACCATTTAGAAGTTTAGCATGGAAGTTTGTAGATGTGCAATACGCACACTGAAATTAAGAAATTAGCGAATACACGTAATTACGTGCACGGGTTGGTACAGCTAAGGAGGTTACGCTTCCCCGCCACGGTGGCTCAGTGATCAAGGTGTTAGTTCGCTAACCTGGAGGTCCCGTGTTCGATCCCTGCCTTGGCCGAGAAAGTTCTGGCCTGACAAGGGACAACTTATAGTTGTTCGGAAGGAACGAGAAACCGGGGTCCCGTGTACACGTTGCCGTGTAAGTAAAATATCCCTTGGCAGTTTTAATCCGATGTAAGAGTAATTCTTAGTGTCGCTGTCCAGGCAAAATTTCTCTCATAGCACATTGCATTAGCTTAGTCGGAGCAGAACATTAAAGGAGCTTAATCGCTAATATTTGGGACCTAGAAATTGACAAAAATGGGTTGCAACGCATATAATAATGTAATATGAATGTATATAAACTGATTTACATTCAATCGTTTCTGTTTTTACTGTAATTTCTAATCAGTTATGTTCGGCGAAATACGCCAGAATTCTCATGTTAATGGCAATCTTTAGCGTCTGTTTTTTCCAGTCTACACCGATGATATGTATTGCGCATGCTCTCCAGATAAGAATATAGCGTCACCATTTGACATGACTTGTGGAATATGTCTAGCCCTGTTCTTTCGTTCCTTGTTCCAAATGGCGCTGAAACGCATTATGGTACACAATGGTAAAATGTTTATTTTGTCTTGAATATTGGATATCAGAATCCTGTAAGATCACAAGACCAATGTTGATTTGAATTGACAAATAATTCGTGTTTTCAATGTCGAAGATTTTTGATAATATTGAGTTAGAGACTTAGCTACTTTAAACCCCATTTCATTTCTAGTCCCCTCCATTTTAATTTCAACCTAGTGTGCATTTTACCTGTTAACTTCAAAATCATCAATATTTGTTAACACCTGTGCGGAACGGTGATTTAATGCGCTTAACAATAAACAAAGCAGTTTTTAAGGCCCGTCTTAGGGATAATCGTGATATTTAAGGCCCGTCTTAGTCAGGGTTAATTGTGATATTTACTGCGCGGGATTAATTATCTGTTGACTGTTGCTGATATTTACAATTCCAGGTAAATTATGGAACAATTCAAGTGGCGGGGAGCAGGACAAAGGTTCAATGTTTCGCCAATAAACTTTAGTCGGGAGAACAATGCGTCGAGTATTGTCACACCAATAAAAACTGAGCCGGACGAATAAAGCGTTGTGTATTGTCTTCAGTAAAAATTGAGCCGGATGAAGAATGCATGGGCACAGAATACACATATATATAATTCTGACTTGTAATAGACTTTTATATAATTCCGTACCTGTTATAGACGATTATTATATTAATTCTTAATATACGGAATAAGACCTGCAATCCATTTCCTTATTTCAAATGTAATAGGTGTTCATTGCATAGTAATTTATAAATGAAATCAAATGCGGATTAGCGTCCTATGTTTCTTGTAAGTACACGCCGACGTGTACACGAATAGACCTCGAGTTTTCGTCCCATCCGTTCCGCACTTCCTTGTCATTCCAACCGGTACAATAGAGAGAGAAATGGGGTTTAACGTCCACTCGACACAAACTAGGTTATTTCGGGACTAACATATGGTTCAAATTTATTTCGACAATTCGCTTGCGCGTAGCGGTCTTTAGCAGTGGCAGGAAACCGGGGGACCCAGAGAAAACCCACGAGGTTGGACAGACGACCCTGCACCTTTTCACCCACAAACAGAAACTCGAAACCAGGCCACTCACTCGATGACAGACCTTATGATCCAACGCACACGCGTTAACCATTTGCCCCCCCCCCCCCACACACACACACATACACCGGTACTTTCCCTGATAAGTGATGAATGGGCTTGTGAAGGAATTATTCTAAGTGCATCTCGCTCGGAGTTCAAATACGAGAGTTCAGTGGCTTGATCTAGAGTCAACAGAAAACAACAGTTTTAAAGATACGTTCCCAGAAAAGTATTTATCGGGTGCTTATTTCCAATAAAAGTATGCCAATTTTGGTATATATGGAAATTAGAAATATCAAATCTTACTAGAAAAAAACTGGATTTCCTGAAAAACACTCATGGAGCGTATACAGGACAAAAATGTGAGGGTTCCCCTAATCGACAGTGTTTTGAGAAGGATTTGAAGCAACATTATGATAAATTAATTAGTTTGAATATATTTTTAGTCCAAATATATCACCAAATTACCCAGTATGTACGCGGGAATGTCTCTTTAAACATCGATTACGATATGAAGGTAGTAAATTATATTCACCATCCATACTTTATTAATGGTACAATCTATCACTTGCTGGCTTAGTTATTTTATAAATGTTTAATTCAAATGTTGATTGTTTACGTGGTTAGCATGGATGTGTCACATGCGTGTATTGACAGTTCGGAATTAGCCTTGTTTTAAACGCCAATAAGGCTGTAGATAATGTTTGACATTTTACAGCTTAAAGCTGTCGACCTCGAGCTTTCGTCCCATCCGTTCCGCAGTACAGAGAGAGAGCGAGAGAGAGAGAGAGAGAGAGAGAGAGAGAGGGGGGGGGGTCCTTTAGATAGAAACTAGTTTTTTTCGGGACTAACATATGGTTCAAATGTATTTCAATAATTCGCTTGTTCGTGGGTGGCTTTAGCAGTTGGAAGAAACAGAGGACCCGAACAAAACCCACGAGATAGGACAGGCGACACTACTCTGTCACGTACAACCGGGGAATCGAAACCACGCCAGTTGACTCAATGACAGACCTTGTGACACAACGCACACGCGTTGATCATTCAGCCATCCAGCCCACCTCCGTGTGGATAACAATTCTGGAATTATGTAGTTTATTTGTCCGCCAAGATATGAGATTAACTTTATTTTACTTTGCTATACAAATAATAATGTTTGACTATATAAATAAGTCAATCCATCAATGGGATATAAACGGTTTAATCCCACGTTAAGCCGTGGTTGGCAAGGACATTGACATCCGTCATATTTTTCTTCTATAAGTAAGGATTATTGATAAACGTGTTATTTTGAATATCATGCTATTCAAAATAAATTAAATCCATTTGTATTCGAGAATGAAAATGTCTCATTGAAAACAGATGAAAGTATTGTTTTCCTGTGGTCACGTGGACTTGCCAAGGATCCGAGAAATGTTAGTTTGACAGACTGTAGAAGGTAGAAAACATAATTGGCGGTTTTAACATGGAATAATTTAGTTGTAATTAAAAATTAACAAACCGTGATGTATTATGAAGACGGGTGTAA